CTCCCGTTGTCTCTGTCTCTTCTCCCAGTTCAGTGACCTTTCACATCTGTCCAGCTAACCTCGCACCGTATTAGCTACCCCTGCATCCTCTAATTGTCTGTGGTCCACAGCCTCAGGTAGTGTCACACCACACCTACGGTCACCGGATGTCATGGGGATGGGTTACTTCCTGCTTTCACTGTAAGCCTTGGCTCCCTGGCCAGACCCTCTGCTCCTGAAGGCAGAAACAACAAAGCTTATTCAAATGTCTGAGCCCTCCTCATGCCTGGACTGGGACTGAGCTCTTGTGTCCACACAATAAATTCTCATCGACAGGAGGAAGAGAGCAGAGGGTGAGGTGGCCAGCTTCTCCGAGTCGCCTTCTTCAGCCGGCGCTCACAGTCCTTACCAGGGACCCCAGGGCCCTAAAAGTCCAGCATCCACCCCTCTTTGCCTCTGCTTCATCAGTCATCACGTAAAGATATGCTTCATGTCTTCCTTTAATGTACTTCAGACTCATCACCATCATCTTGCCCCAGAGTCTTTGCACTGGCTGTTGCCTTTGCTCCCACCATCTGGTCTCCCCTCAAAGATCATCTTCTCCCAGAGGCTTCCCTTGATCCTGTTCTGTTTTTCTAAATAACACGAGTCTCAGTAATACCCACATCAGTGCTCGTCTTGGCTGCGTGTCTCCCTGACTAGAACGTAAGGGCAGGGCCCTGTCCGTCCCGTCCAGTGAGCAGCTGGCGTTTATTAATGAGGCTCATCTGCGTGCCTCGTGCTCGGCCCTCCTAACAAACTTGTGAGATGGTGGTTTCATCATCCCCAGATCTGTTAAACAAATGAAGGTCTTCGAACCATACTGAACTGGGAGGTGAAGGGGTGGACTCGGGGCTTGTGAAATCTAAGCTATGGGAACTATGCATGTGAAACAGCCCGGGGAGGAGGAAGAACCGGCCTGGCCATTGTGCCGCGCCGGGAGGAGAGGTTCCGCTGAAAGTTTGGACAGTTCTTGCCATGGAGTCCGGAGGGCCCTTTAGGAAGTGGTCCCGCCCAGCTGTCCCCCCGAGGGGACCGGGTCGAGGGCCAGCATCCTGCTGGACACGATAAAGGGGTTACTGTGGGAAGCGCTGGGATGCCTTGGGAGCGCCAGGAACATGAAAGATATGTTACGCGTTCAGTCTTCGGTTCCCAGAGAATCACCACCCAGTGTTCGACTTGGCAGAAGCTCTTCCGCCCCTTCTCTGAGCTGCCCCCTTAGAAGAGGCGCACTGTCTGCATACCGGAGGCGGGGGGCCGTGGCGGTGTCTGCTCTCGGGCCCTCTCCCGCAGCCGCGGGAAAGCAGCGTGGAGCCCGGAGGCAGGGCAGGCGTGCCCGTGCGCTCCGTGTACGCGGGGCGATCCCCGCAGAACCTACCTGTCTCCAAGGTGACAATCCGGGCCCTTTTTCCAGGGGGGCCCTGTTGTGAAACACTCTGGAATGTTTGTGTTCCTTCAGAGGTTTGTAATTAAGAAGAGGCAGAACTAGTTCTTGCTTGGCGCCTCCCTGTCACCCTTCTGGCACTCGGGTCATTTGATTTCGCATTGGGGGTTTCAGCAGCCCAAGACATGGAGGCCGGTGGCTGGGACTGTACCCCGAAAGGTTGGGGTGAATCACTTCATTGGAGAGTGGGGGCTGGGAGTTCTGGGCAGCCACCCCCACCCCCCTGCCCCGACTCCGGAGTCTTGGCCACATCTGAAAGTGGACATCTCTTCCCAGCTCACATTCTTGGCCCTTGCCCAAGGGGAAACATTGCAGAACAGACAAGCACCCACAGTTTCCCAGGGGGGACTGGTTTAAACAGTCCCTCCCTCTGGCAGGAAGCGGGTGTGTGCACGTGTATATATGGGTGTGTGTGCGTTTAAATTTTTGTGCAGCTAAAGACACTTCTCTCTCCATCCTGAGTCTCTGAGTGGCACGTCTCTGCACACTGAATAATTCATCTCCCTCTGGGCATTCGTTCCAGAGAGATTCTTGCTGTCCAGATTTCTTGTAAGTGGCATGGTCTTCTAACAGAAGCTTTTCTCTTTCCCAGGGAAAAGCTCTGGGCGTCAGGATATCAGCCCTCCGCTTCCCGCTGCGGTCACTTTGAAGGGAGCCCTGAATCCCAGACCAAAGCCTGCCTTTCTCTTCCTGCCCTCTCCTGACTGTCGATTCTCTTTACTCACGAAGGCACAGGGTCTGTGTTCACAGCATCTCAGTCCCCCGCCCGCCCCGCCCCCCACTCCCCATACCACATGTCAGTCACATCACGGATGCTCATAGCTAAGATGTCTTTCAGTTCTGACTTCTCAGTGTCTGAGGCTGCAGTAGTCCACGGAGTTCATGGGTTTCTGGAAAAGTGACCCATTCTTGGTGTTTCCGTCCTGCCTCCCCCATCCCCACCTTCTCACGCAGGGAGCTCGGGGAATCACTCTTGTTGATGACTTCGCAACATTACTGCCTTTCCGTTAGGCGGCCGTGGATGGTCCAGGTGCACGGAGTATCTCTGGGTGAAGGTGTAGGTCCCGGGAGGAGCAGTTCCAGCGCCCGGGCCTGCCGCAGGCCTCCCTCTGGTCCAGCGCGGTCAGCTGCGTCTCGGGCATAGCTTACTCTGTGTTCCTGACTGTGCTGAGACTCACACGGTCTCGTTAATTTTTGGAATCAGGCAGTGGGGCTTCAGATCTTAACCTCTGGGGTTTACTAACGACTCATTTGTAAAATGGAGGAAAAGTACCTGCTGCCCACAGAGGGAACGTGATATGTCTATGACATGCTTTCTAGGCCTCGATTTAGCCATTATTAAATATTTTAGTGATAATTAATATATTAACGTTACAGAAATAGTAGGAAAAAAAGGATAAAAAGGAAAAATTTAAATTACCTTGAAATCCCTGTATCAAGATAACCCTTTAATGTATATCTTTTCAATTTCTCTTCTACACACACAAGCATTTTATGCAGAATATATTATTGGATAAAATAATATGTTGGTCGAGATTCGGCTCTTGGTCGCTGGTCTTCGTTCTCTATGAGGAAGAGGGGACAAGCACTTAGAGAAGTTTGAGGAGGGGGAGGCGCCGTGGCCTGTGGACTTTGTTTCTGAAGTTGGGGTGGAGCGTGGCATGGTGATGGTGTGGACTGACCACAGCTTTGCAGAAACCGTATCTGAGCGACACAGATGCTCCTGAACGGAGAGCATTCTTAACTGAGGGATGTTCCAGTCATCTGTGCGTCTTCTCCATTTATCCATTTTCTTTCCTTCTTTTCCTCCAAGGCAATGACTCATGATTTTCCTTGGGGCTCCGGGATGCACTGAATATATCACCTTTCAAGAGAACCTTTTAGCTGGCAGCAGGGACTCTGGAGACACGTTGCCTTGCCTGACACTTCAGCTTTGTCATTGACCTTGAGAATGTTATTCAGTCCTTCTCAGCTTCAGTTTCCCCTTCTGGGAAATGGAGAAAATAACTGATATTTTCTGAACATTCATTTTTACCAGGATCTATGCTAAATGTTCTTACAAACATGACCTTCCTTAAGCTAACTGATAACCTGGAGAGTTATTATTCCCACTTTCCAAAGAAAAACACCGAGGCTCAAAGAAGTTAAGTTGCCAGACTCACACGGCTAATATAAGTAAAGCTCATTGAACGCTTATTTGTTAGTGCCTAGTCTGTTGAGTCTATTGCATATCCTATACATCCCTCTGGCTTCTTCCCCATTTTCTCCTACCATAATACAGCAGTAAATTACCCACTAACAGAGACTTTTGAACTATCTATTCATTCAGTCAGTCAGTCAGTCGACATTTTTTACAATGTGCCAGACCCTGGATCTATGTGATCGTGAACACACCAGGTCTCGCCACCAGTGGCTCCTTTAGTGTTTTTCCCCATGTAGTTTGCTTTAAGTCTGATTCAGAGTGAGTCTAAGAAGGAAGGAGATGGCACGGGATAAGAGAGGGCAGAGTCCTGTGGTCAGAGGAAAGTTCTTGATGAGAAATCCTGGACCCCAGACCAGCGATCTAAGATCTTCTTCGCCCTGTCCGGCTGAAGCTCCGTTCGCCAGTCTGTAGAAAGAGTGATGAAGCTGAGCCTCTGGGCTTCCGAAACTGGGAGGGGTGAGGGTGGGAGCAGACAGGAGAGGGAGAAGATTAGAATATGTATTTTAGGCGGAGGCAGCAATGGGGAGAAACCAAAGGAGCTGTCTGGATGGACTCCTCAGGCTGACTTTGTGTATTTAGGTTCTTGGTGCTTTGGCTGAAATATTTGACCAGTGGTTTGTGGTGTTTTCCAGGGTTGGCAAGCCTGTGTTCATTTAGTTGGGTGATTTGTTTGTCTAGTTGACTTACCCACAAGACTGGGTGATTACTGCTACTCTGCTTCCCGCAAAATGGAGACTTAGAGGGTGGTTATTGCTCAAAGATCAGTTTGGCCTGGATTGTCTAGGGAAGGACCGCACTGGGTACGAGGATTTGGGAACCATCTCCAGAGGCAAATAAATACGGCTTTTGGCCAAAATTCACGGGACGGAACATCTGCTATTCTAGATGCTGCAGTAAGCCAGCTTTCCAGAGGGGAAGTGGGCATGGCAGACATGGGACAGAGCCATGATGAAGACTGGGGGTGGGGTGGGTTAGTGAGTTGCAGGTAGAAAAGCCAGAGAGGGCTGGAATCCAAGTCCAGGAGCAAAAGTTGGCATTTGAGCTCTTTCCTGCAACCTTCTCAGTTAGAGATGCAGAAACAGAGGCCTAGGGAAGGAAGGTGACCTGCTCAAATTACTCCGTAGTGGCACAGCTGGGACTAGAACGCAGATTCCCTGCCTCCTTCCATGCGTTCACCTTTCTGGGACAACAGGGACAGATCTGGTGTCAGTTCAAAGTTTCTGGATCTGTTGGGCCAGCCCTGAGGAGTCGGAAGGCCAAGAGAAGCAGCGAGTTTGCAGGGAGGGGCTTGGGGACTGTAGGCTGATGGAGTCTGTCTTTCCTTTCGCTTGCCAGGTACACCAAACCGCTCACCTTCGCCGACTGCATTAGCGACGAGCTGCCACTAGGATGGGAAGAGGCCTATGACCCACAGGTTGGAGGTTACTTCATAGACCACAACACCAGTAAGTTCCCGCACCCTCCCTCCCTCATCCCCTTTCCCTGTTCCTCTGCCTTCCCGCCCAACACCCCAAGTCTGGAAGAGCTACCAGCAGCGTTTCTGGAAGCCAGATTGTGTTGTGTTTTATACTGTTATATAGAGATGTCAATGTAGAAAGAGATAGATATGTTTGCTCATATAAAATAACTGTTTAGAAGCATTTAAATAGAATCTGAAATTTGCCCTTTTGCAACCCATCTCCCCAATTTTTTAGATTAATTAATTGATTGATTTGATTGAAGAAATGATTTAAATTTTTCCCGTCTTCTTCCCCTCCCCACTTCCCCATCTCACCAATTTTACAAAGCCAGCACTGCTAACAATGTATGTATCATTCCAGAAATTTACTAATTATGTGTTTATGCGTGTATATATATATACTTTTCTTTTTTACATATATCATTTGATGCGCAGAAGATTTTTTTTTTTGGCCATAAAAAGCAGTTGTGTCATTGTCATTGCCAGATCATCTTGGAGCACCCAGAGCCCCAGCAAGTCTCCAGCAGCGTACACACATGCGTGTCCATAGTGGATGGGCGTAAGTGTGTGCGTCTAGCCCATCATACCAGCCAGCACCCCTCACTTAGTATGTGTTCCAAGTATCCTGACCCAGAGTGCAGACTCCTGGTGTCTTTCTCTCTGGGACCGTGAGGGAGGAATAGGTTGAGAAAGGGAGGGGCGTGTCGTCTGAGAGTCGAAGGAACCCAGGGTGTGGTCCCCCAGCCCCGAGAGTCGATGTATGCATTTGGGCCTCATCCGTTGTGCACCTTCTTGGCCAACACTATTCTCGTCCTCTGAAATTTGCTGCCCCATTTGTTCCTGGGTACAGAGGAGAGAGGACTTTTCTGTCTTACTCTCAGCCTTCTGCACTGGAGGGTTTCCTTCATCCTTTCAGGCCAGAGGAGAGTGGAATGAAATGGAACATACCTGGCAAAGCCCGAAGGCTGAGAATAGGATTCCAAATCCTAGTAGCCCATTAACTGAGCGTATGCTCTGTGCCATGTGCTGGGCTAGAGTTTGACAGGCGTCGTCTCATTTCATCCTCCCACCTATCCTGTGGGGTATTAGGATGATTATCCCCATGTCATTATTATAAATGGAACCTAGAGGTAGTAAGTGGCTGTTCAATACTCAGAGCTAAAACACGGCACAGCTGGCATTTGAACCCGTGCTGGGGAGCAGAGTTGTGTTGCTCCATCCACTTCCTCTTCGGGGTTTCAATAGCACCTGGCCGTGCCTCCCTTGCCCCTCATCACTCTGTGGTATAACCATTGACCTGTCGCTGCAAGTTCTTCTGGAGCAAGATACTGTCTCATTCATCTCCGTAATCCCAGGCCTTTGCCTGGTGAGACACATAGTAGGTGTGCACTTGACCTTTGCTAAGTAGAAAAGAGCATACGCGCACGAATGCATGACTAAAAGGGTGAATGAGCGGGCTGCTGTTGGCACCAAAGTGTAGAAGAGTTTCTGAGAGACAGCTAATGGCATTAATTGCGTCGTTGGGGGTAGCAGAGCTTTTTATTAGCGCTTGTGATTGCATACTGGATAATGAGAAGTAAATATGCCTAATTGAGTGTGTATGGGGAATGAGGTTAATGCTGGGAGGGCCGCATAGTGTGCTGGGTTAAACACTGATGCACAGGAACCCTCATCGGTCCTTTCCTCTTTCTAATTGCTGAGTGCATCCCCCTCATTAAATTCTGATGGCGGGAGTGGGATTTTAAGGTGCTTCTGGGAGATTCTGGAGAAATAGAAGGAAGGAAAGAGTAGCAAGCAATGGCAGAGTTTATTCTTAAGGTGATGCGTGATGCTGGCAGAAATAGAGTGGGCGTATGGGAGGGCATGAGTAAATGGAGGCCAGAATAGGAAGAATTCTCTCCGGCGTCAGCTGTCAGGCTACTGGTTTCTTTTTGGTCTGAGGGTGCTCTCACTGGGTGAAGGGCACCGCCTCTGTAGATGGAGCCAGTGATGCGCATACGACCACGGAGGCCCAAGCATCCAGAGCCGCGGACTCGGACCTGTCCTCCGCGTGTGTCTTGTTCATTGACTGAAATTACTCTCTTAGGAGTTACAGATACAAGAGGATTCGAACAGATTAAATCCATCCATTCATTCATTCATTCAGCAAATGTTTATCGACTACCTACGATGCTCCGGGCACTGTTCTGGGAGCTCAGGATACATGAGAGCGCAAACTGGCGATGACCTTGTCTCTTCTAGGGCTTTCATTTTGGCAACAGAGAAAATGAATAGAACACATAAGCAGATCATGTAGTACATTAGCAAATTATCAGGATTATGGGAAAAAGAGAAAGCAGAGTGTGGGGCCAAGGTGCGCTAGGGTGAGATCGAGGGGGGCAAGGGAAGGACAGCGGGAAGGACTTATTGAGAATATGTGAGCTGAGACTTGAAGGAGGTGGCAGAGCATTTCATGCAGAGAGAATAGAGCAGAAATCAAGGTGCAGTCACACTCAGCTTGCTCGAGAGATGGCAGGGAGGCAGGTGTGCAGATGGCAGAATGAGCGAGCAAGCGGGGTGAAGGGCATCAGGCCGGAGAACGGCAGGACGTCAGTGGGGCAGTGGTCTGCCGCAAAGGTTCTGCTGGCTTTTGCTCCGCATGAGGCGGGAAACCATTGGAGAGTTTTAAGTAGATGAGTGGCATGTTCTGGCCTTAAATACCAGTCATTAATTCAAAATTAACCTGTCTCCAGACCGGATTTACCACATGGCCGTGATTATACAACTTCTGCTGTGTCAGTCACCCCTAACCCCACCCACCAGCCGGGAAATGGCTTAGAAGGTGACAGTCATGGGCATTGGGGCTTTGACCTCGTCCACGTCTGTTCAGTGTCTAGCTGCCCATTTTCCTTGAATGTCTTTTTGTCTTCTGACTTTTCTTTTTTTTTTCAAATTACGGCTGTGCATATTTATTGTACACGTAATTTAAAAAAATGAAGATGAAGACATATTGACTGTTGATAATTTGCTAAGAAGTTTCCTCTTAATCTTTTGGAGAATGTACACATCTACTTTGATAAATACAGAATTATGTAGTTTTGCACCCTGTCCTTTCCCTTTTTTATCAGAAGCACCTTTCCATTTTTTCTTGGGAGACATTATTTTTAATGGTTGTATTAGTGTATTATATGAATATAACATACTTATTTGAGCAGTTATTTCCTGTATGACCGTGAACAAGTTACTTAACCTCTCTGTGTCTCAGTTTTCTCTTCTGTGTAATGAGGGTAGTAGCAGGATCTCCTTTATGGAGTTAGTGTAAGTATTGAAAGAATATATAGACATAAAGTAATTAGAATAGTACCTGGCATAGAATAAACATTAAATACTTGTTATTTATTTTCATCGTCATCATCATGGTTTTGTACAAATGCATCTTTGCCTGAATTTTGTTTATTAATCGTGATAAATTACAATGGGGGGATTACTGGCCAAAAGGCATTAACATTTTAAGGCTTTTAACGTGAATGGTCAGATAGTCCTCTGGTTAGGCCGTTCCATTTCCAGTAGGCTGTGAGGGTGCCTATTTCTTCATATCCTCTGAAATATTAGTTATTTTTACTTTACTTTTTGTTAAACAGATGACCTTAAGCATTTATAATGTCCTTGAGCCTCTCTGACTAGATTAGAACTCAAGTCTGATCTTTCTCCTACCTGTTCTCAGACAGATTGACTTTAGGTTTAGAAATCGATCCTGGCTTATTTTGTTTGTTTGCTTAATCAAAACGAAGAGTCCCTGTTGTTTAATAGGTAAGTTTAACCCGTTGACATTTATTGTGGGTTTTCTATTCATTATGCCTTTTGTTTTCTGATAGTAGATTCCACAGGCCACCAACCCAACAGATATTTGTGAGGTACTGACCTAGAATCTCTGGGGTCTGTTCCAGAAACCACTCAGATCGAGGACCCCCGGGTACAATGGCGGCGGGAGCAGGAGCACATGCTGAAGGATTACCTGGTGGTGGCCCAGGAGGCCCTGAGCGCTCAGAAGGAGATCTACCAGGTGAAGCAGCAGCGCCTGGAGCTTGCACAGCAGGAGTACCAGCAGCTGCACGCCGTCTGGGAGCACAAGCTGGGCTCCCAGGTCAGCTGTGAGTACCTCCCACTGCCAGCGCGCCCCCCCACCCCCCGGGAGGAGGAAATGGCTGCGCCGCGTCCTGCCTGGATTGCCTCTCAGGGCTTCTCGAACCTCTCCGTTTTCCTCCGTGTCCACTCCTTGTGCAGACCATCTCTTCCTGCGCCTGCTGCCCTGCGGCGATTCATTTGCCATTTGCATTCCGTTTTCTCTCATTCATTTGTCATCACCTCAGAATGCCGATCAGGTTACATGATCTTCTTGTTTAAAACCCTCCCGTGGCTGGGGGAAGTTGACCGTGGAGAGTTTAGTGTTTAACGGGGATGGAGTTTCAGGTTGGGAAGACGAAAAAGTTGTGGAGATGGATGTGGATGGTGGTGGCGATGGTTGCGCAACAGTATGAATGCACTTAATAGCCCTGAACTGTACACTTAAAAATGATTAAAGCGGTAAATTTTATATGTATATTTTGCCACAATTTAAAAAACAAAAAAAAGTCTTCAGTGGCTTCCTATTGCTCTTTCCATGGCCTACACAGCCCTGTGGGATCAGGCCCCTGCCAGCCACTTGCATCCCATCTCATGCTCTCATCCTTAAGGCTCCAGCTACACCGAGACACTCCCACCCCCAGTTCTGCTCCCCTAGCCTGCCCCGCACCCTTTTACCTCGACGCTTCTGTACTTGCTGTTGCCCAGCTTCAAATGCTTTTCTGTTGACCCTTCTGCACAGCTGGTTCCTTCTCATCCTTCCAGTCTTATCTTTCAGGTAATTTTCTCTAACCATCTCCCTTGTGACAAGTCCATCAGCAGAGTGCCTTCCCCAGAGTTAGCCTCTGTAATGCCTCTCTGCTTATTTTCTTTGTAGCATGTGTCACGCACAGTACGTGCGCTTATATGTCTACGAGGATTTCCTCCACTGGAATATAAACGTGATAAGGCCAGGGCTTCCTCGTTCGCCTTGGCATCTGCAGGAGGAGAGCAGGCATGCCCAAGGCCCCAGCCCTCCGTTCCCAGTGCACACCATGCCAGAACCGGAGCTGTCGGTGGAAGAGCCCACCGACCTCTTCCAATGTGTTTTTTTTTCCCCTTTGACCACTGTTTCTAATATCCAATCCTTTCCCATGTTGGGTGAGTGCTTACTTACATGATAGGCTCTCTGCTACAGACTGAATATGCTATTTCAGTTCATCCTCGTACAAACTCTGTGGGCAAGTACAATTAATATCTTCCTGTAACAGATAAGGAAACTGAGGCTTAGAAAGGATCGATAACATGCCGAGACTTACAGCTGATGAGAGGCAGCAGCAAGTTGCAAACCCATTCCGTCTGTCCCTTCAACATTTTTACGGTGGGCCAAGGGTCCAGCATTAAGCTGTGGTGTCAGGGTGGCTGTGGCTTCGCTGGGTCACCAGACGCTCCTCTCCTGTGTGAAGTCATCACTTGGAGAAGTTTGGTTTGCCAGGCCTAGAGATCGTCATGAGGGTTTTAGCACTTAATTTGTCTTAGCTCAGGCTGCCGTAACAAAAATAACATATAGACGGAGTGGTTTAAACAACAGAAATATATCTTCCCACAGTTCTGGAGGCTGGAAGTCCCAAGATGAGGGAGCCAGCATGGTCTGGTTCTGGCGAGAGCCCGCTTCCTGGCTGGCACATGGCCACCTTCTCTCGGTCTTACCGCACAGCAGAGACAGAGACAGTAGGCTGCCTGGTACCTCCTCTCATTAAGACACCGGTCCCTTCTTGAAGGCTCCGCCCTCATGACCTCATCTAAACCTAATCACCCCCAAGAGCCACACTGCCAAATACCATCACATTGGAGGTTAGGGCTTCAACACATGAACTTTAGGGGGGACACAATTCAGTCTATAGCACTGTCCTTACCATAGCCCAAAGAGGTGATATTGTCCCTAGTAAAACTCAGATTCAAAGTAGTGAAGTGATTTTTTTCACTCTTTAATTCATGCAGTCTGAAAAAAAATGACAAGTGTGTACACTTTCCTGTTTGAGGGTCAGAATGTTTTACATAGACCCAGAGTGTCACCCCACACATCACTTGGCTAATTTCGGAGGATAACGTGTATTTTCACATGGGACAGAGCCGCAGCTGCCACCTTACATGGCTGTTACATGAGCATCGCCAATAACAAGACAGCCTGACATCGGCTGCCTCTGAAGTGGTGCAGTAGGGACATCATGGAGGATTCTTGACAAATGGTTTACTGTAAATGGACTCATGAAGAAACAGCCAGACAAATCCATAATGTGGAATATCCTACAAGATAATTGGCTCGGACTCTTCAAAAATGCGGTGAAAAATCAAAAAGATGGGAAATTGTTCTAGACTTTTAAGAAAGCCCCTCAGGAGTCATAAATCAGATAAAACATGTATACCTTGATAAGACCCTGGATAGGGGTTGAGGCCAGAGGGGAAGTAGCCAGAAAGGACATTCTCAGACAACTGAAATGTTTTCATAATGATGTTGTGCCTGTCTAGGAGAATGTCCTCTCCCTTAGGACATGCATGTCTGCAACTTAATTCCAAAGAGGGTCCAGGGGTTAAAAAAAACTAACAAACAAAAAAACGAAACAAAATTGCAGTGTCAGTTTAATCAGCAGATCAGCAGATGTCAGTGACACATTGCTGCCTTCGAATACGGTCTAGGTTTTCATCTTTGCCACCATTTCCAATATTCATTTATTGAGGACTTATTGTGAATCCGACATCCTACCAAGAAAAAGAATTAGGGTAGTGGGGGAGGGATAGACAGAATAAATGCGGAGAGATGCTAAAAATTGGATCTAGGTGAAGGATATAGCAATATTCATTCTGTTACGCTTTAGAATTTTTTGCAAATGTAAAGTTTCTAAAATAAAGTCAGAGTGGGGAAGAGAGTCACAGGGGCAGGGATGAAGCATTCCCACACAGCAGGGCTGCGGTAGAGGTTGCAGTCACTGTGCTCTGGAGTCAGAAGTCTTGGCCCGAGTCTCCATTCCATCGTTACTATGTCTTCTTGTGGAGCGCACCTCATCTCTTTAAGTCCGACATTCCTTTGGTTTTAATGTGGAAATGTTAATAGTACCTGCGCCTCATGGCTCCATGTCAGGGTTTTTCAGCCTCAATACTGGAGACATTTGGGCCAGATAAATCTCCGTCGTGGAGGTTTTCCTGTAGATTGTGTGATGTTTTGCAGCGTCCCCAGTCTCTACCCACCAGATGCCAGTAGCACCCCCCGCCCTGATTTGTGACAACCGGAAATGTCTCTAGACATTGCCAAATGTGTGCTTGGAGGCAAAATCCCCCCAGTCTGAAAACAGTGGTCTAGGTAAAACAATTCCCTTAGAACATATGAATGGCTCAGTAAATATTCTTTTTGGCATGAAACACTTCACATAACATTTTGAGCGTATGGAGTCTGGAGCTGGACTGCCCAGGTCCAAATCCAGGATATGCAACTTACTAGCATTGTGACCTCGCACAAGTTAGGCCACTTTTCTCTGTCTCAAATTCTTCATCTATAAAGGGATGTAATAATAGTATCACCTTCATTGGAGTGTGATGGGGCTTAAAGGAGTTAACAAATGTAAAGTTCTTGAAATATTCTTGTCATATTCTTAAGCTCTGAATAAGTAATAATTATTACTCAATATTATTCATCAGCATTGAAATGACAGATTTTTTTAACAGATTCTTGGAACCAGTAAGAATAGATCTGTGACCAGTGGTAGGGAGTAAATGACACAGTTCTCTTACATGACTTCTGGGTGCTCCCAAGAATGCCATCAGGCTCAAAGATACCACCGTTTTGAATGTTCAAGGACTTCCATCTAAAGGGAGTAGGGTCATCTCGGGTAACCTATCTGAGATCCTAACTAGCCAGGAATTGGGGCATCCCCCAACCCAAGCTTCCCAGTTAAAGAGGCATGACACAAGCCTCCTCATGACTTTCTTCGGGTTTTACAAGCCAGGTTCGCCTTCCAAGTCAAGCCTCCCCAGCATGTCGACAGACTGGAGAGGTCGCATGCCTCGCTTCTAACTCAGATGGCCTGCTGGAACTTGTGAGAGTTTCACCACCTGGCCTTGGCTGCTGTAGGGCCTGGGGATGGAGACTTTGCTGTCACCTCTGGTGCAATCTCTAGTTCCATGGGGAAGGAGAAGAGAACTAACACCTGTTATATTCCTGCAGGGCAATATGCTGGCCACTCTGTACGTGTCATTTAAAGTAACCTCCCTCTCTACTCACATACACATGGACACACACAATCCAGCAGCGCACTGCTGTTCTCATTTTACAGATAAGGAAACTGAGGCCCAGATAGGGGACGTAGCTTCCCCAAGGTCATCCTGGTAAAAAAATGCAGAACTAGCCTTTATACCCAGGAACATCTAACCTCAAAACCAATTGTCTTAATTTAATCCAAGTCAGCCAGTCAACTTCTAAGGTTCTCGGGCTACTCTGGGGCCCTCCTATCCTCTGAAAAATGAGATCTCAGGAGAGCTGGATTCTTCGAGACCTCGCCATGCTCCCTTCTGCCTCTCTCCAGGCCTTGGAGAGAGGACATTTGAAAAGTAAATCATTGGGAGGCTTGTAGTTAAAAATGCCAGTTGAACCACCCACCTGATTTCAGTCACCTCTGAAACCAAGAAGAGATCAGATAGGTTTTTAAAGACATACTTGTGTAAGGAGAAAAAAGAACAGCAGTAAAATGTGGAAGCTGGAAAGAGGACAGGTGGCAACCTGTTTGATAGACTTGAGAAAAGAGGAAATGGGCCAGTAGTGAGAAAAGTAAAAACTCTAGTCTATGTAGAGCACCTGCAGAAGCCTTGCAAATTACAGAAGCACCTATCTCTGGGAACGGAAGTGAAGTGAGGAGGGTCTCAAATATAGAGGACTGGATAAAAGTTGTTTCTGAGACAGACCACCCGATCACCTCCCCAAATTATTACAGCCAGACAACTGCCCATCCTCAACCTGGCAAAAGACTGGAGGTTTATTGTTTGGAGAGAACAAAACAGAGTCTCTCTGGACTATAGGATATAGGCAAGTTCAATGCCAGGGTGCGACATCCTGGAAACGTGGTGATTAAGTGAACATGGACAGACAGGATTTTGAGACCGTAGTCCGCATGTGCCACTTGGTTCCCAGAACGGTGCCAGGCTATTGCCCTCCAGGCTAGACAGTAGAAGAGTCTGCAGAAATCTGAACAGAGAAAAGAGATATAAAGAGAAAAGATGCAGACACACTAACAATGAAGACTCCTGGATGAAACAGTCCAGCCAAATCCTGCACCACGTAACCTACAGTCAACAAGCTCCACTCCAGCCCCCACTCTTAAATGTGAGTCGACGGCTGTGATTCCAGACAATGAGGAAGGCCTCGACCATGCAAAATAGACGTTAAAACAGACTCATGGTGAGGGGAGGCCCTGGGAGGGAACAGGGAGTGGGCATGGAGAAGAAAACACCGAGAAGCTGCACAACCAAGAACAGGATGCTCCATTTTATGAAAAGGAACCTTCAGAGAACACGAAAAGAGCCTTTAGAAATTAAAATATAGGAATGAAAAATCCGTAGGAAGATTAGAAGGTAAAACTGAGGAAACCTTCTAGAAAGATTCAACGAGATGGAAAATAAGGGGAAACGTGGAGCACCAGGCCACGAAATCCGAGTAATAATAGTTCAGACAGAGCAGAGGAAACCAGGAAAGAAGCATCAGTGAAATTGTAATTAAAATCGTAAACATTTCCCAGAACGGATGGAGGAGGGTTTTTACATTGAACGGGCTCCGGGAATGGCCAACGCAAGGGATAAAAGTTAGCCCCACCAAGACATAATCGTTGCTTCAAACACGGGGGATGGTTCAAGGTCCTGAAAGCTTTCAGAGAGAAAAACCAGGTCGCACAAAAGTCAGGACTCACATTTGAGTTTTCTTTGCCGTTTTTCTTTTTTTTGGTCCTTGTATCTTCAGACTAAGAGGAATGAAAATATTGTAGCCAAAAGTTGCCTGGATTTTTCCTTTTCCATTTTTCTTTAATATGGCTGTTATTCATTCGGTATACAGTCAAGTTTGTTTTCTGTTTGTTCCAGCTTTGAAGTTTAAAAAAAAAAAAAAGACCTTGTTGATTTCACTTTTTGGCATTTTAATTATGATGTGTCTTGGCGTGGGCCTCTTTGAGTTCATCTTGTTTGGGACTCTGTGCTTCCTGGAACCTTCTGGATCTAGGGTTCTAATCTCCCCACTAAAAAGAACCAGGGCTCCTTAGCAAAATGGCAGAGTCCAGGTCTGAGCTGGGAGTCAGCCAGGACCATCTTGTGGCAGAGTAAGAAAGTGTGACAGGCACAGAAGCCAGCTTGAAGGAGCACCTAGTGGCCAAATCTGGAAGCAATCTGAACATCAAAATAAGTAATGATAGTAATGGATTATAACCCATTGAATAAAATCAGAATCCATAGATCCATCTTGACAAAAGTAAATAAATAAAGAAGAAGGAAAGACCCTTACAGGAAAATGTCAACTAATAAATGCAGAAGGAATGATAGAGTTTAAAAATTACTATCTGGCATTCATTACAGTAATTTGATTCGGGCAAGAGCCATCAATATACTTTAAGGAATGGGATATTCATAAAGCTTTATATAATCTCTGCACAGGTTATTTATTACACAGGAAAATAGTAAGTTGACAGAAAAGTTGGAGGACATGTCCAGGACTTGGCGCTCGAAGTTAGCATCACCAACATAGGAACAAATCACAATCGCCACCTGTTAGGATCAGTGAGAACACAGTGTCACTTCTGGGGTGTTCCTCCCACCTGTGTGTAATCTGAATCTAATGAAGTATCAAACCCAAATCGAGGGATATTCCATAAAATAACTGGCCCCATCTTTTCAAAATGTCACATTTGAGAAGAAAAAACACTAAGACTGATCCAGATGATGGAAGGCTAAAGAGACATGACAACTGAAATGCAACAGGTGATCTTGGATTAGATCCTGGACCTGAAAAGTTCGTACTACAGATGACAAGTAAGACAGTGGGTAAATCTGAATACAGTCTGTGGGTTGAATTAAAAAATAAAATTATTAGGGCTCAGAATAGTTCTAGACTTCTCAATGGTAACTGGAAACCCAAAGGATAATGGAGCAGCACCTTCAAAATTTTAAGGAAAATCATTTCCAACCTGTAATTCCATATCCAGCAAAACTACCTTTAATCAAGTATGGGGTAAAGATAGTTAGACATGCACGGTTTCAAAAAGTTAATTTTCTTCCTTGTTTTCCTCTCAGGAAGCAACTAGAAGTGTTGTTCTACCAAAATGAAGGCCTGGGCCACAGAAGGGAAGAAGACATGGTGTTTAGGGGAGAGGAGGAGGCAAGGAGGGGGTCTCCAGGGGCCAGCTGTGCAGACAGCAAGCTGCTCACGCCAGAGCCAGCACAGACCTGGGCGAAATGGAGTGAAAAAGAGGAACCTGGCTGAATGGGGCATACTGGCCTGGGCTCTGCGGGAGGAGATTCAGTGAACTGGCAGAGTGAGGTTGAATCCGTGATAAGTTTGTAGGCAAGCATAAAAATGCCAATTATTAACTCTTGGAAAAATAAATGAGCTAGAAAGGAAAAGTAAGCAAGTCGGCTACACGCCTCTGCCCCGAATAGTGTTTGCAGAGTAAAAGTAATGCAAACACTGAAGATTGCTTCACCCAAATTATGCTATCTCTAAGGAGGATGGGGAGCGGGGAGGGGTGCCTGTGTTTGGTGTAGGAGCTGGGCATGAAAGGGAACTTAAGCCTCCGTTCTCCAAAGAGACAAGTAAATACGTAATGCCTAAGACTGAGAAAATCAAGAAGCAGCAATACATGCATATTAGACACAGAGAGGCAGATACCGAAGACACTGGCTGGCCGTGTTGAAATGGTTCCCTTTTCCAGAGTGAGATGTGGGAATAGGGGTGATGCCTGTGGAATGCTCTTTTTTTTTTATATAGCAAAACTTGTACAGCGTTGGACCATTAAACTGTGTTCATATATAACTTGAATAAAAACCAAAAATGAAAACTATGAAAAGGCAAGACTTTAAAGGCAGTTTCTAAAGTCCTGTTCAAATATAAAATTCTTTTTGTTGGAGAGTTAGTGAGTGGACATGGACACAAAGGGGGAAGCAGATGACCTATTTCTTGATTGAGGTGCTGGTAACTTTTTAATATATTTCTGGTCTGTTTTTAGTTGTACATATGTATGCATGTGTTGTTTACTGTGTATATTTTCCAAGTTTGTTACTTTTCATATTTTTTTGTAAACTTGTTTTCATATAACAATAAGTTTTAGACATTTTCCCTTTTGTTCGGTATTCTGCTCCATCATTTTAAGTCACATTAGTTGTGCAGTCCCTATTTTACGTATGTACTGTATTTATTGTACAAATCCTCGTTTCTTGGACATGTAGGTTATTCACTATTAGTCATTTCTTTCTAGCTTGATCTAGATGGCCAAATAAACCAACTTTGCCAAAATCTGTTTCTTCTACAGAATTTTTTTTTTCTTTTTTGTTGCAGTGGTTTCTGGTTCATCATCCAGCTCTAAGTATGACCCTGAGATTCTGAAAGCTGAAATCGCCACTGCAAAATCCCGGGTAGGACCTCTTTGTCTGTGCTATTGATAGGGGTCACTGAGTCGGCCTCAGGCAACTGCCCTCCCCACCAAGAGCAGAGTAGATGCTTCATCCAGCGGGGCCCATTCTTACCTCTACGGTTATTATATTGCCTCTTGCTTCCATGCACAGCCATCCCACACCCATCACCTGCTTTAAGTAATGCACGACCCTAAGATTTACCATCATCCTCACCAATGAGAATAGGAAAGGAGCAACAGAGAGTGAAGATGGCTTGAGAGAGAGGTTGTGGGGAGGTCAAGCTCTATCCCAGGTCGGCCAGCGCCTGTCTAAAAAAAAAAGGAGCAAGGGGGTTCTGGATGGCCTGCAGGACACCGGGCTGGGATGCCGACTGAGTAGGCAGCTGCGGAGACCCAGGCGGCATCAGTGAGGGGAGGGCGTTGTGAACAGTGTGGCCCAGGTCATGTTGACTTGAGTCATTATGCAGGCAGCGGGGGCGCTCCGGGTTCCTCTTTGGGGAGAAAGCAGACTGCAGTTCACTGTCAGCCTCTTACCTAGTCCCACGTCCAGTTGGTTTTCTGTCACCTAGGTCAACAAGCTGAAGAGAGAGATGGTTCACCTGCAGCAGGAGCTACAGTTCAAAGAGCGTGGCTTTCAGACCCTGCAGAAGTAAGTCCACCCTGCCGTGCCCCCTGCCCATGCTGCCCTCCTGTCCTCCATCTCTCTCTGTCAGCCCCTTTCCTCCCTTCTTCAAGTGTGGCTCAAATCATTCGATTCCAGTTCTGTTCCATGGGCATTTACTAAAGGCTCAGGTTTTGAAGGAGAAAGGGAGGGTCGTCTCAGACCACAGAGTTCTCATCGTCCCCTGATTCCAGAAGCCGTTAAGCTCCGTTTCATTCAGTTGAGTTTTACGAGCCAGTCGTAGAAACAAGTGCTGTGGGGCATTTCTGTTCACCTGTCTCATCCCCTCCAGTGGAACCAGCAGAATCTCAGAGGCCCACAAACCAGAAAGGTTCTTTTTGCCCATGACCCTAAAACTGAACAGCGACTTCGTCTGCCATGCTCTGTGGAAGGAACAAGGCTCTCTCCACCACAAAGTACTTTATAGGTGACTTAAGGAGTTCCCAGAACAACTTCGATCCAATGTAATTTTCACTTTTAGAGGCTAACCTGGGGCCAAGTAAGATGCGGCTCTGTTCGTTTCTTCTGAGCCGTCACGTTCGTTGTCATTGTCGTGACTGTACTAGCTCAGAGCAGTCACTCTGTGCCAGGAAGCGCTTTCAGCGTTTCTGCTTGGGCGACCTCATTCGATCCTCATCGCAACTCTGTAAGGAATGTTCTTTTAGCTGACTCCATTTTATCGACGAGGAAGTTGAGTCGCATCGTAAGTACTCAGCAAGTGTTAGTTTACTGTTTTCGTTAACCACACATATCACCGAGATTTATGCGTTGAGTCACCTGCAGTCTATCTAATGGACTCATTGGACGGTCATTACAGAGGTGCCTGGAAGGTCCACGGAGCACATCCAGTTGAGTTTTCCGGTCTCGGGGACATGTCACTTAGATTCCCGAGGAGGTCTCGTCTGTACAAGCAGCGGCTTCGCAGTCACTTGCTTTTTCTCTCTCCTTGACTGTACCTTTTCCTCATTCTCTGAGCTTCATATCCGCTCCCACGCTGTGGCCGCCGCCTGAGCCTTTGGATGTCTGTCCCCGGGCCCAATGAATCGAGGCCTGTTGGTTCTTTCTTACATCTTCCCACCACTAAGTCCCCACCGCCTGGGGCAAACCACCATGAATCCCTCCCAAAACAAGATATAGGAGAGTGTTATAGATTGTGTGTCGTACATTTTTATATTATAAATCATAGCAAATTATGGTTTTCTACATATGTGCTTATATAGATATATGTTACTGATATATGTATATGAACATATGCCAGTCCTATCTCACCCCGGATTCCGATCTCATTAAGGGATCGTGCTTTCTGCTTCTTGGTGATCTTCGGCAGAGCCAGGGACAGTGGAAGGCAGTCATGCGAGCTGAGAAAACTCCTGGTTTTTGACCTGTAAAGCAAGCAGCCTCCTCAGGCCTCCACTTGGCAGTGGGGTAGCTTCTGAGCACATAGTTTAAGGGCTGCTCAGGCCCACGTCATCTTGCCACAGGCGTTCCCCCCTCCTCCCCCGTCCTGCAATCCTCAGGAGCTTCTGGTGAGAACCCTTCCCATTATTCTCTGAGCCACCACAAACCTGTTTTACCACTTTGTCACCCTGTAGCAGCATTGAAAATTCTTGTCGTTTGGGTAAGCTGAGCTGAAACCTCAGAGACAAGCCTCCTCTTTTTCCCTCCGTCCTCCCGCCCGATGTTTGGTATCAGCCAGATAAGACTCCTGCAGCAGAGTCTGGCTGCCCACGCCCCCCCCAGCTGGAAGCCCGCTCCCCTCATTCAGTGCGGGGGACACCTGCTGTAACGCACACCTTGGCATAGACGGTTAGGCTTGTAGCCTCCAGAAAACATGGCCTGGGTTCGAATGCCAGTGTCCTGGGACCGCCGAGCTTTAGTTTTTTCTTAATCTGAAAAATAAGTTATTGTGAAGATTGAATTGGAAAATTCACGTGAAGTGTGTGACAGTGACTGGCACATAGGAGCCCAGTGAGTGTAAGGGGTGGGGTGACCTCTTGCTGGTTGCCTGCTTGACCTTGGGAAGGAGCTCGGATGAACTAAACATCTGCCCTGGGCTAGAGGCTGCTCTGGGTAAGCAGTGTGCCTCAGTCACCACATTTCACGGCCTTTACTCCCTTAAGAGAAGTGTTGGTTTTGACCCATCTTATAGATGAGGCACTGATGGGGTTGAAAATATACCCAAGGCCACCCAGCTAGTAAGCGTCCGAGCTGGGATTAGAACCCAGCACTATTAGATTTTGAAATTCATGTCCTAAGACCTCCCTTCCTGGCAGCATCCCAGGTAAACCCCTCCCCACCCGGAAAGCGTAGGGCCCCTCACCATCTGTCTATATCTCTTGGGATCTGTTTCAGATTCTGATAAGGGACGATGAAGTCACTTCTACCTCCTAGCCTCCCTTTTTTGCATTACACGGGGGCAAGGTGGAATGTATCCATTTGTTCAGTTCATGGTCCCCAACTCATTTTCAAAAGAAAAGAGGACGATGAGGATTGAAGGACACCTCTTAGGGGAGACTGGAAAATCAAGACAAAAGCCGGGGTTTAGGGCCTGCCAGCTGCCTTGAGCCCACATAAATAGGAAAGAGTTGGGACTTGGCACGTCACCCCCGTGGGAGGAGGACAGCGCAATATCTCTCTGCGTGTCCCCAGAGCTGCCCTGCCCAGGTGAGAGATGTCTGGACAAGACCGAGAGGCGCTGGCTGCTGTCGGAGCCTCTTCCCTGCGTCTCTGTGGCTGCTGGGTGTGTGAATCTGACGTGCCGAGAGAAAGGACAGCTGCGTGATTTGGAAATTCTAAAACACACCACCGCCCCCCCCACCCCGAATACCCTCGCCTCCCCCCAACCACACAACTTTTCTTTAACCTTAAAAAAAAAAAAAAAGACTCATTCACTGAGTACATAATGGTGACCCTTTGTTCTCCTCCCCTCACCCCAATCCCAAGAGTGCTCCCTCTTGGAGCTACTCTCGGGAGCCAAATTCCAGAGCCTGGGTTGCTAAGGCCCCTGAGAAAAATCAGGTAGAGGCTGTCTGAGGAGCCCAAGGCCCAGAGACAAACTGCTTCTGTCTCATCCTGCTGAGGATTCAAAGCCATCCTCACCCTGTTGGCAGAGGACAGCTGGGCACAGCCCCCTCCCCAAAGCCTCCAGCCCCTGGACCTGCTCAAGCAAACAAGGTCTCCCTTGCACCCACCCCTCCCCTGCATTTGGGGCAGGGCCACCTCCAGTCCTGGACACTCGCTCCGAGGGGTCCTCCTCTCCACAGGCGGCTTGGGCCAGCCTTTGCTGAGGAGAGCTCCCTTTCGACTAATTTCTCCAACTAAATCTGAGAGCAGTCTTCTCTGACCTGGCAGGCTTGCTCAGGCCCAAGTCCTCGAAAGGAAGAGACAGGCTATTTTTAGTGGGGAGACATAAATGGGGCTTTGTTTTCGCTCCGTGGAGGCTGAAATAACGAAGGAGAAACGGGAGGACTGTGCTGAGGCCGAGTCCCTCCTCCCTCTCCTGCTCAGGGGCACAGACGATGAGACCAGGATGGAAACCTGCCCCACCCCGCCCCCTCCCAGTGATTCCCATTCAGGTTATTTTTAGCTCAGGACCATTTGGCCTCTAGCAGGAAGTGGGAAGGAATGCCCGCAGCAGGGTCTCATCCTGAAGTAATGGGTGTGTGGTGCTTCCTCTGCGACTGTCACAACCCCTTTCCTGCACCTGGGACTGAAACCTCAGGTGGCACATTTGGCAACGTGGTGAAGCAGTTAAAATTCGCCTCTGCCCTCTGAACCCTTCCCCCAGCGCAGCCCCACTTCCCCAGAGGACCGGGGTCTACACCGTCTCCGGTTTGGTCTGACCTTCAGAAAACATCATGACCCTTCACTTTTTAAAATTCTCTCCCCTCCCCCACCCCCATCAAAACGAACCTGTGCATAGGACCTAGATAAGCCGATAAAGCTCCAGGCTAGAAGCCTTTTAACCCCTCACATTCCTTCACCACGTGATCTTCCATCCTTTCTCCCACTGATACTCCTAACACCCCTGTGACGTGCGCTGGGCAGACGACATTGTCTACCTCTTTTTTAGAGGAGGAAACCAAGGCTCTTCGTGGTTGAGGGCCATGCCCAAGACCACACTACTAAGCAGCAGGGCTGAGGGCTTTTGTCCTTTTACCTTTCCTTCATCATGTCGTTAACGCCACACATGCTCTTCAAAGAGGGTGATTTTGCTCCTCTTCCCCAGAGGACATTAGGTGAAGTATGGAGACATTTTTGGTTGTCACAACTTAGGGTCAAGACGCTACTGGCATCTAGTAGGCAGAGGACAGGGATGACACTAAACGTGCTACAGTACACAGGACAGCCCCCCACAAGAAAGAGTGATCCAGCCTCAAATATCAAGAGTTCTGAGGTTGAGACATTAAAGAACTAATATGCCAGGTACTAAAATTACTCAAACATATTCAAGCCTGCTAGAGTCAACTTACAGGCCACTACCACATAAATTATTAACTGTAATACAACTTGATGAGTGCAATGTCGCATCTATGTACAACATCTTATGGGAACACCTAGCCCAGCCTGGAGGACCCAGGGAGGTAATCAGGGAAGGCTTCTTGGAAGAGCTGACACTTAGAGGACCCTCGACTTAAAGTGGTGTTGCTTCTGCTGCCCCACATTATGGGACATTTGCAATTTAACAAGGTCCTTCCGTGCCTTATCCCATAGGCAGGATAGAGAGGAGACTTCGTGAGGGAATGAAGCACTGTGGTCTGCGCTTTTGCCTTGGGGAAACCCCGCCCCTCGCCCCATCTCTGTCTGACTTTTCCCACTGGCTGTCTCCTAGAATCGATAAGAAAATGTCTGATGCTCAGGGCAGCTACAAACTGGATGAAGCTCAGGCTGTCTTGAGAGAAACAAAAGCCATCAAAAAGGCCATTACCTGTGGAGAAAAGGAGAAGCAAGATCTCATTAAGGTACGAGAGTTCTGTGACACGGGCCCCATCTCCAGTTCTCCCACGCACCTGTGCCTGGACTCGTGGACTCTGTCCACATGCAACACAGATCACCGAGTTCTCACTAATTATCTTGAGCTTTCGGCCTCATTTTATAGAAGAAGAAATGGAGGTTCAGAAGCATCGAGTGACTTGCCTAAGGTCACACAGCTAGTGTAAATGGTAGAGTTGGAACAGGAGCCCTCTAGTCCAAAGGCCATGTCCTTACCACTAGCTCTAGCTACCTGGCTTACTTTGCAAAGAAACAAATGAAGGGAGGTGTTTCGGCATCATTAACCTTGACGTCAGAATGTAGCATCTTTATAAGCATTTCATTGCATGTTCTGATTCTATGCTGGGAACTGAACAAATGGTAATAAATGCGATTTAATGTGCCAGGCAGTTGTGCCAAGCACTTTGCATGCATCGTGGCTCACTTATTCCTCACATCAGTCCTACGTCATCCCCATCATACAGGTAAAGACTGTACAGCTCACAGCGTACCTGGTAGAGCCAGGATGCAAACCCACGAACACTCGTCTAGAAGCCCATTCTCTTAACCCCTGTGCCTCTCACTGCCCCTCCCAGGAACTACCCTGACCTCTGAGATATTATCGTTTTCATCAGCAGATCAGGAGTCTGAGGCTCAGAGATGCCGTAAGTGACTCGGTGAAGGAAGCTTTATGCTCCCTCACAAACAGAACGATTTTAGAGCTCCTGGCAGGACAGCAGCCCCGTGAGAGCGTTCAGATGAGGCACTAGTGGACAGTGAGGCACGTTCCCATCATGTTGGCGGCTCAGAGCGCGGAATCTCTGGTCAGATACACTAGGACCAAATCCCAGCTCTCGATTGCCAGCTTCTCCAGGTCATGACCCCCTCATGGATAAAACGGGCATAATCACGGGTCATTCCTGGCAGGACTGTGGTCAGGATAATAAGGTCACAGTAGGGTTGACAGTTCCTGAGTATTGTCTGTATTAGCACTTTGCGTTGTTCACCTCATTTAATCAGTATGATAGCCACGTGAGATAGGACCAGTGATCATTCCCATTTTGCAGGAGAGGAAACTGAGGCACAGAGAGGTTCATCAACTAGCTTAGTTCACTCAGCTAGGAACTAGCAGAGCAGAAGTTCCACCTCAGGCAGTGTGTCTCCAGAGCCAGCGTCCCCACCAGTCTCTCCCGTGTCATAGGCCCGGCACCTACTAAGTACCCGCGCACTGGTGGCTCTTTTCAAGATAAGTAGAATGTCTGGGTGACCTTGGGATCCTGCTAAATTACAAAAAGTAGAGGAAAGGCGCATGGAGTGTGACAGACCCCGAGCTCCCTCCCAGGAAGGTGTGTCGCTAACCCTGCCCTCTGCCCATCAGAGCCTCGCCATGCTGAAGGACGGCTTCCGCACTGACAGAGGGTCACACTCGGACCTGTGGTCCAGCAGCAGCTCCCTGGAGAGCTCGAGTTTCCCGTTGCCGAAACAGTACCTGGACGTGAGCTCCCAGACAGACATCTCAGGAAGCGTGAGTAGGCAGTGCGGGCTGCTGGGGGCCTCCCAAGGGACAGCCTTTGGGAGGCTGCTGTGGTGGGCGGCCACCTTCCCGTTACTCACCTGAGGAGCTGGCTCATGGTGCTCTGTGGGGCTGGCTACTAACTCAGCCTTCTGGAGCTCAGTTCTGCTGCAGATCTGGCCCCAGCTTTCCAGGAGATGAGGATATAGACGAAATGTCAGCATTTCTTCTGTGTCCTGAGTATCACCTGGCCATGTGGTTTGTCTCTAGACACTGCACAGAAAGTACTTTTGATTTCCTTCATGCTGTTTTTCGGCACTATTCTGTTTTTCTTTCACCAGCTGGGAAACAGGATATTTTCCTCCTGTTTGTCCCAAAACAGTACACACAGCTTTCAGACAGCTGCCTGACCCCCAGTTCAAAAGCTCAGTCTGGTCATAGTGCTGAACAGTGCAAGTTCCCTCCAGACATAGCTCATGAAACCAAGGGCAGGACTGACCTGTGGCAAGCCATCATTTTTGGAGAGCTTTTGTTTCCGAGAGCAGGTGACGTCGAGCAGACGTCCCTCCCAGCCTCCATGGCTGAAATGCTATTCCTATCTGACGTAGCTGTGTTCCCACTAGTAAAGAGAAGCTATATCTACATCTGGTTGGGTGAGCCTTGTAGCTTCTTGCCGTTCTTGACCGACTGACCCAGCCAACGGGGCTACCTGCTCCTCTCTATACCACCCCTGTGTCTACCTGTCACCCTCTTGCGGGCCAAAGTATTTGTGAAGGAACTCTGTGCCTCCTTCCACTTCCAGGACCTTCTCTTCATCACCCAGTGTTTCACGCCCGACGGCAGCCTCCTGAGTTTTTGGTCGACCCCCTTCCCAGTGCTCCCAGAATGGCTTTCTTGTATATTAGCTGTCTCTGTCTCCTGCTGACCAGCTGTCCTCCATGCTTCTGTGGCTTGAATGGGCTCTAAGCCATTTGAAGCTGCAACGTGATATTTTGGGCCCCCAGCTTCTCTTCTAGATGTGATCGATGTCTGTATTCGGGGCCCTTCTCACGGCCTGAAGGAAGAAAAGTGTTTTTGCCTAACTAGCTTCCTTGCCATCCGCTCAGCCAGCTCCATAATTGCGGGCTATTCTTAGCTGCTTCCCACACAAGCTGTCAAGTCTCTCCTGAGCTCTTGAAACTCAACTCAGCACTGGCCACAACAGCCATATAATTCCTGACTTTGTTCTTCTCCCCAGTTCGGCACCAGCAGCAACAATCAGTTGGCAGAGAGGGTTAGATTGCGCCTTCGATATGAAGAGGCTAAGAGAAGGTAATTAGAGGCTGGGGGCTGGGGGTGGGATGTTTCTAACAGTAATATCTATCGTAAAGGGTCTGCTCTGTGCCTGGCTTTTTACGTGCCTCATCCTGTTTAATCCTACAAAGATTATGAAGATACGTCTTAAAATCTTCTTACTTTTATTCTCTCTGAAACTCAGAGAGGAAGTGACTGACCCAGAGATACTTAGCTAAAGGGTAGAGAGAGGCTTTCAGCCCAGATCTGTTAAACCTCAAAGCCCAGTTGTCTTCCACTTGCTGGCCTCAGTTTCTATAATCAAGGTGTTCCAGTGACCCTGTATGCAGTTTATTTTGAAGGAGCACGACTGGAGTTTTAGCAACAGGCTGAAAAGACTCTGGGTCCTACCCACTCCAATGTCACCTGCCCAGTGCTTGGACCGGGCTGTGCTTCTAAGGGGTGTAGACCCCAGTGACTTTAGGTGTTCTATGGCTTCACAGGATCCTAAGCAGTTGAGTTCCACTGCCACAAATACAATTAAAATAATAAAGCTGACATATTTAGAGCATCCGTTATAGGCCAGGCATTGTAATAAGACTTCTGTATGTGCATTATCTCAATTAATTTTAAAAGCAACCTTATAGCATAGGTTATATCATGTTATCTACATGTTAGAGAGGAGAAAGGTAAGATCAAGATGTTTCATGACTTCGTAAGGTGGTGGAGTCAAAATTTGAACTTTGGATGATCTGGCTTCAAGTCCATGATCTTCCTAGACACTGAGTCAGCCTTACTGGGAAAGAACCCACAGGGCATTGTTGGTGAATGAAGCCAGATGTATTGCATTCAGTTTTCCTTTGGCTAAGTTGCCTGGCTCATGGAATTTGTAAGCCAGTCCAGGTAGTGTGTGGCAATGCCAAACACTTCTGCCAACTCTGAGAGCATTCGAACCCTTTGCAGCAATGACAGAAATCTGATAGAAACAGAGGAAGCAAAGAAGGGCATTTGTTGGCTTATTAAACTCCAAAGTCCTGGGGTGGGCTAGCTTCAGGCACAGCTGGATCCAGCGGGTGAAATGATATTACATAGATTCGGTCTCTTTTCTTTTCTCCACCTTGCTTGACTTTGTATTGATGGACTTTCTTGTCAACACAAAGCTTACATAGTACCAGGCTAGCAACCCCCACAGTTTGAGCAAGTGTGGGTGCTGAGACTCGCTGGCTTTTCTGAGTGAATCAGTCATTGTTGCGGGGCAGGGAGAATTAGAATTGTCTGAAGGTCCAGGCGTGGATCATGTGCCCAACTCTATGAGGGAGGTTGAAGTCAGCTTCGCGAGAATCAAGTGACTTGAAAATGTGGGAGGAGTGATTTCCCAAAGAAAACTTGGAATATTGTTAACAAAAGGGAGAGAAATTGGATACTGGTCAGGTAGGGGGAAAAAACCCATCCTCTGCACTATTTTAGCTCCCCCTAGAGGTCCAGCAAAACAACAGGACTTCTGCATTCGGACGGCCACTTCTCTTCTCCTGAAGGGGACTGCCCTAGACCCCGGGTCCGTTCCAGTGCCGTAATGCCTATCTTAGGTGATTAGTTCTGGAGAGACTAAAGGGTTGGAGTCTTCCCTTGGGGGCTGAGCCATTCAGCTTCTCATCACAGGGAGAAGTCATATCACAACTAACTTCTCATCACGTCCGATCTCATCTCCCTTCACCAGCTTTATGCATCTCCCTCCACCCAAAGCCAGTTTAAAGTGTAAGGGACAGAGCAGCCTGCCAAATGGGAGAGCAGAGGCTGCAGGACTTGAAGGAGGGCGGGCCGGTGGCTGTAATGCAAGGTCTGGCCCATTGCATGCCAGGCTTTGTCACATGTGCGTTTCTGGGGAGTGAGTCTAGTAGTTTTCATCAGATTCTCCAAAGGATGTATAGCCCTGAGTTTAAGGAGCATTGGCATAGGGAAGGTGCCGTTAGAAAGAACATCCAAGAAAGCGTCAATCACCCCTTCAATGTCCCACATATAGTGGAGCCCTTGCCAGACCTGGCCACACCTCTCTGTCCTCAAAGCAGTGGGGAACAGCAGCTACCGAGTTATCCCAAAGCCAGTTCTTGATGGATTGTTATATATGTGAATATGCAATTTAAATTACTTAACTCTTAAGAATCCCTGCTGAGACACTTGGCTGGAGAGTGAGCAAACCTAGATATGTGTCTCCGTATGGAATTTTTACTATATAACATGGAGATCTTGCCTCTAACAGTATTTTGATAAAATACGTGTTGGGCCACATTATCTGCAAATATGATCACACTAGGAGTCCAGAAGCCTGGGCTCTCAACAACTGTTGGCCAGGTTTATGATTTTTCAATCTTGAGCCATGTCCTCTCTGGACATCTGTCCAACAGAGTCTCCCACCAGGTCTTACCTACCTTTTAGGGGTGGGGTGAAGCTAGGATGGGAAAGCTCTTTGCAAAGATAAAATCCTAAAGGGTCACATGATTGCTTTTTAGATATTTGTGTTAGTGCTCTTAATTATATTACGAATCTTTATTTGGTTCAATGGTAATTGTACCTAATATCTAGCATATTAGGTAATCAATCATACATGAGGATGCCAAGTCTCATAGCAGTTAAGGGACAGGGTTCCCAACTCCTCCCTTTAAAACATGTATTAAGTGCTTGCAGTGTATTAGGCACTGTGCTTAGACTTCTAAGCTCATGATACCGAAATGATTTCTTAACGAAATTTCCCTTTCATCAAGAAGGCCAGAGCCAAGACACCAACTCACGGCCTCTGGCCCCACATCCACAGTTCTTTACATTCGCTGCCACCGCTGTGAACGTGGTTAGCTGTTGTATCGTATTTGTGTTGTGTCTGCTGTAGTGGGCCCGTGACTGCCGCTGATTTGGTGCCTAGTAAGTGCCAGTCTGAATACATTTTTGCTCATTTTCACAATGAGTAATCGTTTTCTTATCTGCGAGGCTCAGAGAGTTTGCCCAGTGTTATATACCTAGTAAATGGTCAAACCAGAAAATAACAGAGGCAGCGGAAACATTTATTAAGTGCTTACTGTGTGCCAAGTACTGTGCTTTGAGAGTTTATGGGTTGTCTTAAAGCCTTCACCCACGACCCATGAGGAATGGGTTACTTCCTTCAGAGAAACTTGCCCAAGGCCACATAGCTGGTGTTCGGAGGCTATGGATAAATCCAGCTTTCTGTTCTATCAGGCTTAGTGTCCCTTGGGGCAGGGACATAACCTTGTTAATGTCTCTGCCCCATCCCTGCAGAGGCTACTCAGTGTTGGCACGTGGTAGGCACCACGCGGGTTTGTTAGACAAAAATGTATTCCTTGAGAGGACATGCTAATCAAAAGGAAGTCAGTAGGTGTGAAAGATTACTCTGTGGATATCATGGCTCCTCGTCCCTCTACCCCTTGGACATGCAACCTGTCACCCTGCTCCCACAGTGCCGTGGGCACACCAGTCACGCTCACCTTGTCGGCCCACAGGGTCGCCAACCTGAAGATCCAGCTGGCCAAGCTCGACAGTGAGGCCTGGCCTGGAGTGCTGGACTCTGAGAGGGATCGGCTGATCCTCATCAATGAGAAGGAGGAGCTGCTGAAGGAGATGCGCTTCATCAGCCCCCGGAAGTGGACCCAGGGGGAGGTGGAGCAGCTGGAGATGGCCCGGAAGCGGCTGGAAAAGGACCTGCAGGCGGCCCGGGACACGCAGAGCAAGGCGCTGACGGAGAGGTGGGGCTGGGCTGGGCTGGGCTGGGGGGAGCGTGGGAGCCTTCCCTCACTGCTGCTCAGTCCTCCAGCCCCCGGTGGGGGAAGAGGTGAGGGGGATCACCTGCCACATTTGGCTCCACCCTGAGGACACAGTTTTTGAGGTCTCACAATTTTCCAAAGTAGCAAATGGAGGTGGAAGCGGGGATGATTCACCATCTAACAACCCCAGGACTTTACATAGGGGGTCGCATTACTGAAGGGTCTGCCGATGTGTAGGTTTTCAGAAATTATCTTCTGATTAAGGTAAGCCACATAACTATATAATGTAGTGCAATCGTTTTCCAACTTTGTGACAGTGACTCACCTTATGCGAAAGTTTCACAAAACGATGCATACTTTTCTCTATGTGTGATGGCCCTGTGATGTTTTCTGTCTTATTTTGCATTTCTTTTCATGCTGATCTTGACCTGCTAAATTGATTTCTGCCCCATGCTAAGGAGTTGCAGTTTGGGGGTCGATCAGGTGACTTAAATGCTAGAGGCCCACCTGGCCATGGGCTGAGTCGGACTGGCATGCATAGACCCCACTAGTCTAAAGTGGGTGCCGTCCCCCTCCTCCAGCAAGTGGGAGTGCAGGCCCCAGGTTGCCAGAAGTCCCTGTTTTTCAAGAAAAGAGTTGTTTGGATTTTTTTTAAATATTGGCAACTAATCCAAAAAAATTTTTTTTAATACTCTGAAAGCTAAATCAACTTCATCTATGAGCTCAATTAAAGCTGAAAGCCACTGGTTTACATTCTCTGGTTTAGGCCTTTATTGCCTTCAGAGTCCCACCAGCCAGCACACACGCTGGGCAGAGCATAGCCTCGTGTCCACAGGCAGTCCTGCAGTCCCCGGCTTCTCGTTCGTTTGTTCATTCATTCATTCATTCATTCATTCCGTCCATCAGCCCTATGTTTATTCGTTTAAGAAATGTTTTGTTGCACATTTTCCGTGTACAAGGCAATTCGGAGGATTGAAAAATTAATAAGCCATGATCCCTGCCCTTATTAAAATCTGTTCTCATTATTTTCACTTTTTCTGGCAGCAGACTTTATGGAGCAAGGTCCCTGCCCTTAAGGAGCTTAGATTTGAAGATAGTGATTTTCAAACGTGTGGGGTGTAGGGTGAGCAAGGGAATTCTTGCTGGTGAAATCAGAGGTAGACGTCCAGCTTATGAGGCAGGTAAACTTGCCTGTGCCCCAGTGGAAGCAGGTCAGGAGTCCTAGGTGCCTGGATGTGCTCTCTCTGCATCACCCAGTGATGGGTCCTAAGACACCTTCAGGGAGCCTTCTGAGCTCTAAGGCACCCAGGTCACAATCCCATCTAGCAACTGAGTGAGCTTCCTTTGCACGTGGCGGGGTTCTCAGTGGATCGAGCTGACCGGTCTCTTCTTGGCCTCTCGCAAAACATCAGAGTCCATTGACCAGTCAGTGGTGGGGAATGTCTCCCCACCAAGCCCTTTGTCAGAGTTGTTACCAGGGACTTGACATTTTCCTCTTCTCCATCCTCCCCTGGGAGGGGTGGCTGATTAGTGCTGACCCATCACCAGGCAGGTGGGAGGAGGAGGAGACTAGGTCTTCAATAATTGCTGTCTTACACCGTTTGGGAGCACCTTCTAGAAATCTCCCTTAGCGCCAAGACTCTCTATCCTGCTTTCTCTCAGACTATGTGCCTTGGGGACAAAACCTGTGTCTCTATGCCTTCATGCCTTCAGTGTTAGTTGAAAGAATATGTGCTTAGCTGGCCTGGGCAGACCTTACTGGAGGGCCTCTGCAGGCATCTCCTGGTCTATCTGTTTGTCCTCTGGGTCCCTCACTTGTTCCCAGACCCTGCAGTGGCTGCTGGGAAGCCCTTAGCTATTCATCCTGCTCACGGCCAGCTGCTGAAGAGAGCAGACTCATGACAGCTTTACTCCTTATTGGGTTAAAAGAGAGTCCCTTCCCATGGCTGACCTTGAGCAAGTCATTGCCAATATGGATTTCAGTTGCCTAATAGAGAGAAAAAATAGGATAATTACTTCAAATACCTATATGGTCTGAAGGCAGGTGGTTGGACCAGATTGTGAATTGAGGTTCTTCTCTGCTATAGTAATTTTGGTTTCTTAAAACTAGAATCGGATGTTCTCTTAGAGTCTCCTATGCTACATGCAAAGGGTACCATGATGTACCAGACCCTGTAACTTATATCGTCTCGTTTAAACCTCCCAGCAACCCTGAGGTTATTCTTCATTTTATAGATGAGGAAACTGAGGCTCAGCCGACATCACTGAGTGGCAGAACCGAGATTAGAACCCAGGCTCACTGGCTCCAGAGCCCACGCTTGCTTTAGGCTGCTGCCATTTAGAAGGTCATTTGTTATCGCCTTCGGCCCCGTCTTTCATGAGTAGTGAGCTCACACAGTCAGTCCAGGGAAGCCCAAATCTCCACGACTCAGCAGCTGCTAAGCAGGCGAGTGCAAGGTCCCGAAGGGCAGGATCCTCTGGGGCATGTGGGCAGGAAGAGGAGAGAGCCTGGGGAAGGGTAGGGACAGTCCTGATGGCTGTGAGCCTCCTGCAGGAGGGAGGGAGAGAGCCAGAGCCGACCCAGCAGTCTTTGCATCCATAGCTGTTTGCTTTCCACCCCATGTTTGTCTGTCTGTGTCCATCCCTCTGACCGTTGTCGCTCTAGGTCTCTTTCTTTGTTTCTCGTACTCAGCTCTGTCTCTCAAAATGGGAGTATTGCGCCCTCATCTTGACACGACAGCCTCTCCATTCGAGGTGCCTTTGAGAAGGACAGGGATAGACACCTTCAGGAAAGCCACACCACGGAACCTGCCAAACCCCAATCACAAATCTCAGACATCCTGACTCCCCTCGTCTTACCCCTGCTTCCCCCTCCCTTCCCGCGGGCCCTCCCGCTGCTTTGGGAGCTGCTCTGCTGTCCTGCAGGGTGCCTGTTGGAGTGTGGACTCCCTGGCCCCACCCCAGGGACCGGTTCCCCTGGCCTGAGATGCAGTTCAGGCGCTTGCATTTTGAACCAGCGCCCCAGGTGCTGAGCTGAGCTGAGCTTGTGGGGATTCCAGCCCTGCCTTCTGGATGCTCTGCCTTCTGTGCTTGATGTGTTTGTTCTTGGCCTCCCCGCATGTGCCAGGCAGCACACACAAAGGCCATCTGGCCTGCCTAGCCCAACGCCTCTGGGAGGAGGCCTCAGCACCTGTGTGTTACTGCCGGTGGCTACACCCCTGTGCTCAGAAAGTCAAGGCCACCTGACCCCCGGGCCCCTCAGCATCCTGTGGGGGCTCCAGTGGGAACCTGCATTTACTCCCTGAACATGCCGATGTGGTTTTCTCCCAGAGAGAAGTAAAACGGAGGTGGAAATGCTGAGCCCCGGCTGCTCACACCAGAGCTCACACCAGTTCAGGGCTTCGCTCTTACCAAGGGTCAGGAGATTCCATGGTCGTGTCTGTTCCATGGCGCATCAAGGACCTTGTTCTTGACAGGCTTCGTCTGCTGACCTGCTGCCTGCCCTGCCCCAGACAGGACTGGGGATTGAGCTGGCCAAGGACCATGCCAAGGCTACTCTGCCCACTGCCCTGGGTGTTGTCTTTTTGCAACTTTTTCAAGTCTCTGCCCAGTACCGGGCCCCACCCACCTCTCACCTCTTCTCAGTTCTTCTGGATCCAGCGCTGGTCTTCATTGCAGGGCCTGCGTCGAAGGCCTGGGCGTGTTAGTGGAGGGATAGTGTGTTTAGGTTTTTCCGTGGAAACGAACTCTTTCTCCCAGGCCCCAGGCTGGGTTGGCTGTGCTCCAGGAGCAATGGGTCAGCATCCTGCAGGATGGCATAAGGGGCCATCATCCAAGGGGCCGACAGTGGAACACATCTGCCCAAGGGAGATTTAATGTCATGGTCTTTCAGCAGAGCACATGAACTTGGCCTACTTCAACTGGGAGAAAGTCCCCTATTTGGCAATTACTTATTGAGAGGCCCGCGGGTGGGTGCCATGCTAGGTGCTGGGAGAGTGATGCACAGCTCCTGCCTTGCAGCCCCCAATCAGTGCAGCAGCTCGTAAACCTAGTGTGCCTAAAAATCACCTGGGATACTTAGTGAAGATGTGGATTCCTGGTCCCCACCCCTAGACTCTGATTCGGTAGACCTGAGTCGGACCCAGGGATGTGCCTTTAATGAGCACTCCCCACTTTCTCATGCAAGTAGTCTACGGGCTACACACCAAGAATCACTAATCTAGTGGATCCACGGGAACACCCCAAGTCATGGGTTTGCTTGATGGGGCCCCTTCCTTTTCAGATCTGGGGACCTCAGAGTTGGCCCACTCCAGGAGTTAGAAGGAGCCATTCCAGGGGCCAGCACATTCCCTGGAGCCCACCCAAGCTGTCCTCTCTGGGGGAATTTCAGGAGAACGAGGGGCTAAGCAGTGGGCTCGTATCCAGCACTCTCTTCCAATCCCAAGGGTATTGCTACCAGGGAGAGGTAGTGAATTGGGCTTTAGTGTCAGACGTGCCTGGGTGCAGACCTTGGCTCCCAGGATTCGTGACCCTCCACCACACACACCCAGATCTTCTCTGGGCTCCCTGGACCCATTCTCTCCATTGCCTTTGCTGACTGTCACCAGTCCATTCAGCCTTGGAATGCTGTACATACTCAGAACTTGGAATGCTGTACATACTCAGAACTTGGTCCTGGGCCCTGCCTTTTTTTTCATTCTATGTGTTACTCTAAGATGATACATTTGTTTGTCAGGCTGCTTAGTCATAGTTCCACAAACTGGGTGATTTAAACAGCAGAAATATATTTTTCCACCGTCCTGGAGCCTGGAAGTCAGATGCCAGAGCGTTTGCAGGGCTTTCTTCCAAGGCCTCTCTCCTCGGCTTGTAGGTGGCCATTTACACATGTTCGTCTGCTGTGGCTTCTCGTGGCCTCCCTCTGTGCATGTCTGTGTCCTAACTGCCTCTTAAAAGGACACCCCTCAGATCAGGGCCCACCCGTGTTACCTCATTTTACCTAATTACTTGTTTAGAGGCCCTATCACCAAATACAGTCACATTCTGAGGTGCTGTGTTGTTAAGACTTCAACATAGGAATTTGGGGCTGGGGGACACAATTCAGCCTGTGACAGATGGTGATCTCTTCCATGTGGCGATCCATGTGACAGTGGTCCCTACCTTTACGGCAGCCCACCTGTTCAGCATTCACATCCACACATCCGTAATGGAGCCCTCCTCTTCCCCCCGGGTTGCTCCGCCTCCCGTCACCACATCCACTCAGGCGCCGGTGGCAGTGACCTTGCAGTCCCCTCACTTACTCCCTGGCCCCGCCCCCTCCAGTCCACACGCTTTCTGTCTCCTCCAGAGTCACCTCAGTCCACAGCGTCTGAATCACACTGTGACCGCCACCCTAACTCTTCTCCCTGCCTTCTGCCCATAGCCTCCTGCCCATTTTCTTCACAGCAGCCATGGTGACCTTAAAAGAGGTCTCCCCACCCCGCCCCGCCCCAAATCTCTGTGGCTTAACACAATAAAAGTTTATTTGTTCCCTCCATAGCCTCCAGTTGGATAGTCTTCACTGACAGGCAGCTTTCAGCATGGTTGGTCATTCAGGGACCCAGCCTCTTCTTATCTTGTGCCACCTCCCCTTTTAGATCATAAGAGTCGTCCTCCAGGGGACAGGGGACAGGGGAGAAGACCCACCCACCTCTCTTAACCACCTCAGCCTGACGCTCATCACTTCTCTCACATTCTATTGGCCAGAACCTGGTCACGTGCCCCACGTACCCAGCTGCAGGGGAGGCTGGGAGGGAGGTCCAGCTGTGGCCCAGGGAGCACAGATCTGGGTGAGCACCAGCTGGCTCAGCCACAAAGCAACCTGCTCAAAGAGGCTCATCTGCCAGTCTGAATTGGGCTTCGCCTCGTACTTTCTTTTCTACAGCTCTGTACTTTTTTCCTCATGAACTTTGTCATGCAGTACATTAATTAGATGTGAATATTTCTTAATATCTGTCCCCCCCCCACCCTCCACAGGAGAGGGTAAGCTCCATAAGAGCAGAAATAGATTCTGTCTTGCTCACAGCTTTATCCCCAGTGCCGACAACAGGGTCTAGTGTAAGGTGGGCACTGAGTAAATATTAGGGAGCAGAGGCCTGGATGGATGGGAGGAAGAGAGTGGGAAGGGGCGGGAGAGATGGTTGGGTGGAATCCTAATTCTGCCACCAAATCTGTAGCTTTAACTAAATTATTTAACACTAAGAGCCTCAATTTCCTTGTATATAAAGTGATAAAAACCATTTTACCATGCAAGGTTATTGTGCAAGTGAATGAAGGCAATGTCATAAATTTCCTAGCACAGCACCTGGCATATTGTAGGTGATGAATAATATAGCAGTTACTTTAGGATTATGCTGGAGGCCACACCTCCCCCAAATATCATAATAAAATGCCTCTAGAAAGTTCGCGTGTGTGTGAGTGAGTGTGTGTCTGTCAGTCAATCAGTCAGCCTGTCTGTGTGTCCATCATAGTACACGCCTGCGATGCCTGTTTCAGGGAGATGGAGCCTGGGTCCCTTGGGGATCCCCTCTCATGCCTTCTCTCCCTTCAGGTTGAAGCTGAACAGTAAGAGGAACCAGCTGGTGAGGGAACTGGAGGAAGCCGCCCTGCAGGTGGCAGCTCTGCACTCCCAGCTGAAAAGGTGTGTTGGGGACAGTGGGCTCACGGGGGGCTGGCCAGATGCAGGTGTCCCGAGGTGGCCCACCACAGCCGCTGCCCTGCACATGCCCTCCGTGGCTGGAGCAAGTACGTTGAGAAGCTCCGCAGGCAGGCGGTTAGTCTGGCAGACTCGGGCCGGGCCTGGCGTGGCCGAGGGCAGGGTCCTTCTCTCCAGAGCACAGCCCCTCAGTCCTTCTGACAGCCCGGAGGCGGAGGCCAAGTCGGGTGCCAGTGTGTCTTGTTCCCGTCTCTGGTACCTGTCAACCCAGTTCCACCACACAGAGAAAGTGGGCCTCAGGCCTGGGCCTTGGTGGGCAACAGTGTATCGCTGGAATTTAATAACGTTTTGTTTTCATCGGGTATTTTGAACAGTTGCCTTCTCTTTGTAGTAAGTGAAACTGTTTTTACAATTGTACTTAGGATATAAGGTTTGCTTTTAAGATAGATGTACTGAAGTGTAGAAAACTGAGGTAAAGAAACATATGAAGAAGTATTATTTCAGGCTAGATTCAGCTATGGAGAAGTATCGTGAAAATGGAACGCAGCCAGTGGACGTTCGGGAAACAGAGCGAGAGAGGGAAAAATGGATGTTGAAGGCAGTTGGCCTGGACTGGAATCCCAGTTCTGCCACTTGCTGATTAGGTGGCCTTCTCGGGGTACCCATTTCCTCTCTACTGAAATTGGGTGCATGGTCTACCATGGAGACTGTCAACAGGGCCCACTGAGATAATGTGTTCTCGGTGCCTGTGATGCTTTTCGCAGTCAGGCAGGAAGTTCCCGGCGGCTCAGCCGCTCTGCGAGTCCTCACCCTGCTTTCTCTCCCTGCCCCCAGCCTCTCGAGCAGCATGCAGTCCCTGTCTTCAGGCAGCAGCCCCGGGTCCCTCACGTCCAGCCGGGGCTCCCTGGCCGCCTCCAGCCTGGACTCCTCCACCTCGGCCAGCTTCACTGACCTCTACTATGACCCCTTTGAGCAACTGGACTCGGAACTGCAGAGCAAGGTGGAGTTTCTGCTCCTGGAGGGGGCCACGGGCTTCCGGCCCTCGGGCTGCATCACCACCATCCACGAGGATGAGGTGGCCAAGACGCAGAAGACAGAGGGGGGCAGCCGCCTGCAGGCCCTGCGCTCCCTGTCCGGCACCCCGAAGTCCATGACCTCCCTGTCCCCCCGCTCCTCCCTCTCCTCCCCATCCCCGCCCTGCTCGCCTCTCATCGCTGACCCCCTCCTGGCCGGAGACGCCTTCCTGAGCCCCCTGGGGTTTGAAGACCCGGAGCTCAGTGCCACTCTTTGCGAACTGAGCCTTGGCAGCAGCACCCGGGAGCAGTTCCGGCTGGAGGAGCCAGGAGTGGACGGCAAGCAGCTGGGCCAAGGTAGAGAGCGGCACAGCCAGAGGGTGGGAGGAAGCTGGGCACTGGGCTCAGGCCTGAGCTCGGGCCTCAGTGATAATTACGATAACTGTGCCCATCACTTACTGACTGCTTGCTGTGTGCCAGATCTTTGCGTGGTATATCGATTTATTTATTCATCCAGTTGGTATTTATTATGTGTTTACTATGTTCTAGGTCCTGGGCTAAAGGTTTTTCAGTGGTGGATTCATTCATTCAACAGATAATTATTATTAAGTACCTACGAAAACTAAATGCCAGGTCCCGAGCTAGTGGATGTACATGGTTCATTCATTCAGTCAACACGTGCCATGTGCCGGGTACCGGTTTAGTCGTGAGAATACTGTGTTGAGGACAGACAGGTCCCTGTTCCCATGAAGTGTGCATGCAAATGAAGGCACAGACAGACAATAACTGTACATCCAGACCAATCAAAGCACTGGGAAGAAAATAAAACGGGATGTGATGGAGCCTTCCAGGGTGGGGTGGGCCTGCCAGTTCAGATCGGGTTGTGAAGGAAGGTGACATTTGAGCAGAGGCTGCAGCAGTGAGAAGGAGCCAGCCTCGGGATTAGCAAAGAAGAATTTCTGAGGTGGTACAAGGGGCTGCGGGGAGGCCAGAGGGAGGGGGTCCCCAGCAAGGCTACATTAGGCCTGCGGGGCTATGGTAAGGACTTTGGATTTTATCCTGATCGCTGTAGGGACCCATGTGTCTGACTCCCGTATTCTGCAGGGGCTCAGAAGGAGCATTGTGCTGTGGTTTGAGATTCCAGTTGGAATCTTCAGCAAAGACGACGATGCGGATGATGGCAGCCACGGCTTATTGAGAGAAAACCTCTTTATCTTTAGCAGCAACCACATAACGAAGCATAATAGTTAACGTTTGTTGGGGCGCATTATGTGGCGGGCAATGTGCTTTATATGGTCCAGTGGGTTACTTCTACTGTGCCCGTTTCACGGATGAGGAAATGGCAGTTCAGACAGGTGACATCGCTTGCCTTAGGTCCCCAGCTAGCAAGTAGTCAAGTGAGGATTAGAATCCGGGTCATCACTCGTCACTCGCCTCTTAGGATGTGAGTGTGTTCATTCCTGAGATAGTCTGGTGCTTGGTGGCCCCACCACATCCATCTGGCCCCGGGTGTGAAGGTCAGGACTGAGCAGGGTGCTCAGTAAGCTCACCTGGGTGTTCCTGGCTGTGACTTAACAAGTTCAGGTATACGAGACACAAGAACCTTTATGCATATTTACTCATTTAAGCCTCACACCTCTGTGAGGTTTATCCCCACCTTACAGAAGAATGACTTAACAAGTTCAGGTATACGAGACACAGGAACCTTTATGCGTATTTACTCATTTAAGCCTCACAACACCTCTGTGAGGTTTATCCCCACCTTACAGAAGAACGAAGTGAGGCACAGTGAGGCCAAATGACCTGGCCAAGGCTGGTGTCACAGCTACAGAGTGGTAGAGTCGGGATCGGTGCCACGACCACATGCCCCGAACCCCCATGAAGGCACATGCCAGCTCCAGCTACCGCGGCCTCCTGCTCCTGGCTCCTTGTGAGGCCAGCTAGGAGAAGCTGGACCCGTTTCAGCCTTAAGATTCCAGGAATGGGCAGGAGGGCCGCTGCTGTGCCCAGGGTCACCCACACGTGTGCGAGGGCCGGTGGCAGCAAAGAGGGAGGATGAGATTTCCCGGTTGATCGAAGGCTCTGTTGGGTGAGCGCCAGCCACTTCCTTGGAAGAGATCCCTAGGGCTCCCTCATCAGGGAGGGAGTCATGCTGAGTGCCCTCAAACAGAAATAAAAACAGGCCTCCTGCTACAGCAGGTGGCAGACTCCAGAAGATTGCTCCCTGGAGAGGAGGAAGGGCAGGTGGAACCTCCGACGAGGGTCGAGAAGCGTTCCCCGTGCTGCCCGAGTGCATGTTGAACCAAGCCGGGGACAGAGGACAGAGGCCAGCGCCAGGCTCTCCCTCCTCCCCACAGCATCCTCGGGGCTGTGGGCCAGTGGAGACTGCATGTCTCAGGATGGCATTTCCTCCATGCCACCTCCAGAGCCCTTCCTGCAGTGAGCGAGGCCAGGCTGAGGGCAGACGCTAAGCAGGTTATGCTATTAGTGCTGCTGTTCAGTCAGCGGACAAATTAATCTCCCTAAGTGGCTTAGCGGAGGGTGGCGACGTGTGGGTGTGCAGGCAGGAGGTCTCCGTGGGCTGCAGCAGGCGCGGGGCACAGGCTGGGAAAGCTGCACCCAGACAGCCCCTTGTAGCTCCCAGGCTTGTCACCATGCCTTTCCCCAGGCCGCCTACCCCTGGTCTCTTCTCTGGTCTCCCTCCAGTGCCTGGTACACAGCAGGTGCCCAGTAGTGATGGCCTTGAGGTTGAGGGTCCTGAATTTGGCCTTCCCTGTCAGGCAGAGGGCAGGAACTATCCTATTCATCTTGGTGGCTTTGAACCTGACAATGGGCCTGGCACACTGGCAGCATCCCTGGCTCGGGGCAGGAAGGAATGTGTAGCATGCGCCCAGTGCCTGGCCTGGGCCCCGGGTCGGAGACTCTCGAGGGCCTCTGCCAGTGGCAGGGAGATGAGCTGAGTCAGGAGCGAGTTGGGATAGGCCAGGTGGGAGAGCCCGCGCTTCAATCTTTCCCGTCCCTCCCTGTGCCCTTCTTGAGGGTCCAGGGGCTGTTATTTTGCCCCAGTGTGTGGGGATCCATAGTGATGAGAACGACAGTCGCAGTGGATTTTATAGAGCAGTCTCCCTGCACCAGTCTCTGTGCTACAAATGTCCATGTGTTTCATTGAGTCCCCCCAACAGCCCTGCAAGGTGGGTGTTATCATCTCCATGTTACACGTGAGGAATTGGGGCTTAGAGAGGTTAAATCACTGTCTGAATATTATGGGGAAGTAAGTAGTGGAGATTTGAACCCAGGAAGCTGGACTCCAGCGTCTGGGATGTCAAACATAGACTCAGGAGCCGCCATCTCCTTCCCCGCAGAGCAAGGCGGGTCCTGGGTGTTGAGTTCAGAGGTGGTTGGAATTTGGCAGGACCGTCTTAGGACAGAGGGTGAATGGGCCAAAAATGTGTTTGCAAAACACATTTGCCCTGGTTTCTGAACCCCACCTTGCCATCCTTCCTTTTCCCACCTCTTTCTCCAGCTGTCAGTACAGCCCAGGGGAGTGGCCTCAAAGTGGCCTGTGTCTCCGCTGCCGTGTCGGACGAATCCGTGGCCGGGGACAGTGGAGTGTATGAGGCGTCTGTGCAGAGGTGGGTGCCCGAGTCCTGGATCTCTGGGAACTTTGAATCTGCAGAGTTTGGGCCCCCAAGGTGTGTGCCGGGGACCCACAGGAGGGCATGCCCAAGTGACATGTCCTTCCTCTGGCAGCCCTGTTCGGAGCTCTGCCGAAAACACAGACAACGCAGCTCCTCCTGGGGCTAGGGGCGCTTCTGATGTGAGCACATGCTCGTTCTCTGGTCGCCAGTAAGGGGCATGAGGCTAGAGGAGAAAGCACTGGAGAGATGGCAGCCCCTTCCAGAGAAAGTTCCAGAGCGACCATGGGAAGGGAGGGTCTGGATCCAGCCTGACTTTCCTCCTGGAGGACCCAACTGCACCTTCCCAGACAACCTTGTTTTGGGAAGATGACTTTGGCCCCAGGTCACTGCAGGGAAATCTGACCCTTTGTCTTCTCCACGTTGCCTTCCAGACTGGGTGCTTCAGAAGCTACTGTGTTTGACAGCGACGAATCAGAAGCAGTGGGTGCGACTCAGATTCAGATTGCCCTGAAGTAAGTGACGGGAAGGGCAAGGACAGAGCCATGTGGCCTGTGCAAGGTGCTTTCCTCGTGGGCAGCATCGTGCTAGCCTTTGCCTTCCCCACTGCCCAGGGAGGAAGGCTGAACCCCGGGACCTGCTGACCATGACAGGCTCCTAGCTAAAGGGGCTTACCTCTTTCCCCACCTCCCAGCTCCCGTTTTTACAAAAGCGAAAAATGAGGTTTTGAAGACATTGTAACTGACCCTGACTCACTGAGCTGGCCAGTGGCAGAGCCAGACCAGGACCGGGACCTGCTGCCTCTCATTCTGTTTGGTCATTGTTGCTGTGGCCTTTGTCTTACCATCCCATCGAGATTTCGACCACCTGGACTGAAGTCGACCCCTGGAGCCGCAGCCCAGATTTGTTGTTCTTGTTTCTTCTTAATGGAAGATGGCTTCAATATTTTTTTTTTAATAGGAATTAATTGCCAACATTTAAATATCAGGAAATTTTATACGAACTTCTGGCTTCTCTTTTAAAATTCTGACCCATACATAGCTCCTGTATTCCTGAATGGCAGCAAAGCACTAGGTCTGTACTCTCTGACTCACCGCGGTCCCCAGAGCAGCCAGCGGCCAGATCTGTGATTATCGAGACAGAGGGAGAGACAGACACAGACAGACAGACAGACAGAACGTGTTACTAATTGGTGATCCATATGCTCCTCTCCATTTCAGGTATGATGAGAAGAATAAGCAATTTGCAATATTAATCATCCAGCTGAGTAACCTCTCTGCTCTACTGCTGCAACAAGACCAGAAAGTGTGAGTATGTAGTTGACCCTCTGTGGCCATCGCCGGGGTCACTCGCCTGCTCTTTCACGCTCAGACAATGGGCCGTAAACCCATTGTGGGTATTTAACTCCTGTGACCATGATACAAAGTGTCAATACTGTGAGTGTGGACAGAGGCCTGATGGCAAACACGCCATCTATAAAGAGAAGCGCTCTGGACAGCTTTGGTTTCTTCACAAATATGTCCTGAGCACCTACTGTGTGCCAGCGTGAAGAACAGAACGGTGAGCAAATCCCTGCCCTTGCGAACTTGAAGCCTCACGAAGAGGAATGTCATGGCCGCTTTTATCTGCCCTCGACTCAAGTATTCCAAGCAGAAAGAGACAGGTGTGCTATTCTCAAGAGTCAACACCCGTCACTCCATTTCTGTTGGCTGTGATGGGTGTTACCTTGAGATTGATGATATGGCAAATACCTGCACTGCCTGCCTGTCGGCCCTTCCCGGTACAGACCAGGTGTGTTTCCCTGTATCCATCTGCCTGCGTGTTCTCCTGTAACTACATCCTAGGCCTTCATGGCAGCAGCCGGGGCTGACATTTCTACGGTCTGCACCTGGCCAGCATCCGGGGGAGCGACGTGTGGGAAGGAGGGAGGCAGGAGGAAGCAGGCCAAACAGGAGGAAGCCGAGATTGGACACTGGGGTTGTTTTCAGTCTTTTGCTCGTATACACAGCACCAGGATGAAAAACTTCATACGTCGTTGGTACTCGTGCAAGAGCACCTCGAAGTGAGCTGTATGGTCCAAAGGATAGATGCATCTGTGACGTTGTTAGGATTGTCACAGTGATCACTTCAGGGGTTGTCGTGAGGGCTCCTCTGTGTTAACAAGCAGCCTCGCCGTGGAACTGTGCAGGCTACTGGCCTCAGGCTTCGTGTGCTTTCAGGTTCTGAGGATTTAGGGGATTCAGGAGAAGGCGGAGCATTGCGATAGCCTTTGGGGCCCTTTCTGCAGCCCTCACAAGTACCTGCGTGATGATCTGAGACAGATAGACCCCGGTCCACTGTTTTCTTCAACATTTGCAACAGCTGGTCAGCCCAACATTTGAGCCCCGGGGCTGGGCTGACCCCGGCTCTCCCGTGTTTCTGTCCTCTAGGAACATCCGTGTGGCTGTCCTTCCCTGCTCTGAAAGCACCACCTGCCTGTTCCGGACCCGGCCCCTGGATGCCTCGGACACTCTCGTGTTTAACGAGGTGTTTTCGGTGTCCATGTCCTATCCAGCCCTTCACCAGAAGACCTTAAGAGTCGATGTCTGTACCACGGACCAGAGCCGTCTGGAGGACTGCCTGGTGAGGGCCGTGTCTGTCTGTCCATCCGTCCGTCTGTCCGCCCAGACTTCTGTCCTTCTGGGGATCGGTCCACCTTGCACTTCGGGAAGGAGGCTTAGAGAAGACACAGATTGCAGGGTCAGCAAGTGTCCTCTGTGGTCCTAGGCAGAGACTCTTCCACAGGCATTTAGTGGGGTGGGGGAGCTCCCTTCACGGGAGGAGGAGTAACCGGCCTGAAAATGTTTTTTAAACTGCCAGAACCCGGAAGAAATAGCCACACATACCATAATGTGGTGCATTAAAGGAGAACAAACAGGGGCTCAGATCCCACCTTTACCACTTGCTGTATAGCTGGGCGACTTTGGGAAAGTTACTTCACTTCCCTTATCCTCAGTTTTCTGGTCCATAAAATGCAAAGAATCATGAGGATTAAGTGAGACAGTTCATGTAAAGCACCTACTCAGGTGTCTGACACACAGCAGGTTCTCATTGAACGGGGCCACTGCTAGTACACTCCCCGGAGCAGAGCTCCTCCAACTTCCTCCTCCTCCTCCCCGCATTAGTAGGAGTCAGGATGGGAGACGAAGTAGCCCTGGGTCCCTAGAGACAGGCAGACCCCAAGTGCAGGTGGAGGTTGCTCAGCTTTCTCATATATAAGATGGGGATTTGTCGCTAACTCAGGCTGCTTGTGCTACACAACTGAATTAAAAGAAGTGAAGGGCTTTGGGAACCCTGTGCCGTTCAGATTTCGGAGTATTCGAATGGTGATACGAAACAATGAAAGCCACCGTTGATGGATAACTTGGAAACCAGCAGAGATAGATGGTACATTGTGTCGAGGGCCGTTTTGAGATGCGTGGGTTTAGGTAGCAGCAAAGGCGAGCACCCGCGAAAGAGAGAAACAGGATGTGTGCGCCTCCTGGAGCTTCTTCCGGCCTCCGTGTCTGGAAGCTGGCAGAGTGGCGGTGGCAGCCCTGGCCCTCGGCAGGCTGGTCCCCTTTGTCCTGGTGTGATGAACTATACCTGACCCTAACCTCCTTGCTCTTCATACTTGACCTGGATATGCTTGTGCTGTTAAACCCTTCTCTGCCGTGGAATTGTACTGGGTACCAGTTCCCATCCCTCTCTTCCTCAGCTGGGGTACATGACAGCATCATTGCCACTTCTGATGTTGTTATCACTGACAGTAATATAATAGCTAGTGTGGATTAAGTACGATTTATGTGGCTGAGCTAAGTGCCTGACATGTATTATCTCTATTGTTCCTTACTCAGTATCATTAAATAGGCCCTGTTACACCAGTGAGGGAACCGAGGCCCAAAGATGAGAAAGAACTTGCCCAAAGTCACACTCTGGTCAGGAGCAGAGTTAGCGCCCAGGCAGATCCGCCTCTGCAGCCCACCCTCGTCAGTCCCTCGGTGTTTTCTCTGTGCCAGCACAGAGCTCCCTGGAGCCCACAGGCAGGGAAGGTGACAGAAGGGAGTGGCAGGCATGGTGGACGCTGGATGACAGAGCAGAACGCTTTTCCAAACCCACGCTTCTCCCGTGAAGCATTGCCCTGGCCCTTCCTGAATGAGAAGAGACTCAATTCTGTTCTCTTCTCCTAATTGGATGCCTTTTGTTTCTCCTCCCTAATTGAAGTCTGGCCGTTGTTTGGTTGCCATGGCAGCAGCCAAGCGCTCATCTCACCGTGGCTTGTCTTCACTCGTGGCCAGTGGAAAGCCTACTGCTCCGTATCCAATGGGGACATGGAGTGTCAGGCTGTCGTGTTTTGGTGGCTGAAGGAGGCGAAGTGAGACACAGGAAAGGGCCGTCTGCTCCCACGCAGTCTCCCCGCAGAATCCCTCGTGGAATCCCCAGTCTGTTTTGAACCAGGCAGCCATAGTGCCCGTTCTGAGCAGTGTCTTTGTATCTAGGACTAAACTAAGACCTTTACGTGCAGTACTTCATTTAATCCTCTCAACGGCCCTAGGGAGGAACATTGGGATTACTGCCAGTTGACAGATAAGGGATCAAGGCCCCCAAAGGCTAAGTAACCTGCCGGGGTCATCCAATGCATAGAGTGACAGTAAGTGTCTCTTACGTCCCAGGACCTGAATGATAGGTTTGGAGGAATGCATGGCCTGCTTTCCCCAACATCACAGGCATCAGATCTACCAAATGCTTTAGCGTGGCCTAACAGCGGTCACAGGCTTTCCAGCTGGGCCCTGGTTGCCCACCCCACCCTGCCAACTGCAGAGCCCCGTACCATGCAGCCCAGGTTCTGTTGGGGCAGCCCCCTTCCCAGGCCACGCTCGTGTCCCATAGCTAACCATTCCAGCAGCCCCTTGGCCAACCCCCCTTAGCGAAGCCCCAGCCCTGTCGAAGTGAATTCCACCTCCTCGCCACCTGTGCAACTGGAGAAAAACCACACAGCCATGCCGCGTGGGGTCATTTGAAAATCGTGGGCATGGAGCTCCCCTGAGCCGTAACGCTGCCCAGGATTGAATGTTGCGACTCCATGGACGGTTTACTCTCTGGCTCGTCTCCATGGCGAGTTCTCATCCTCCCCTCTCTCCTAAAACCTCCAGCATCTGCCACCCGCATCTGCTGTTGCCGTCGGTTTTGCCGTTTCTCCCGGTTCTAAGGATGGACCCTCCCCACTCCCGTCTGAAACCACTCTCTCTCTCAGGGACGTGACGCTGCCGACAGTTATTCTGCTTTCTCCTCCGTCTTCGAATTTTCCCTCCTCCACTGGACCTTTAACACGTCGTTAGGCCGCGCTGAAACCTTGACCTTTCTGTTTCCGTCACACCCCACATCCAGTCCTTCAGGAGCTCCTGGTAGCTCCACCTTGGGAAGCTCCCCAGACTCCAGCCACCTCCCACCACTGCCCCGACCACTATCGTCTCTCACCTGGCTTGTCTCTCACCTGGCTTGTCGAGCAGTCTCCCACTGGGTCTCCCCACCTCTGTCCCCGCCTCCCTTCCTCTCCAGCACAGTAGCCAGAGCGATCCTATTAACTGCACATCAGTGCATGCCACTCCCCTGCTTGAAACCTTACCATGGATTCTGTCTCCACCTAGAGTCCACACCTGGGCCCTTTGCCTGGCCTCCAAGGCCCTCTGGGATCTTATTCCTTGTTATCTCCAGGATTTCATCCCTAAGACTCATCCTTAGTTAGCATGCTCCCCGCTCCCGGCCTTTGCACTTGCTGCTTCCTCTGACTGGAATTTTCTTTTCTCAAATATTGATGCACAAGGCTTGCTCGCTCACCTCATTCTGGGCTTGACCCAAGTGTCACCCCCTCAAGGAGGCCTTCCTTCCACCCCGTTGACAATCACGTTCCCCCTCCACTCTCCTATCCCTTTTCTCTGTATTATTTTTCTCTGCAATTTTTCATTACCTAACATTTCTCTGCAACAGAGATGTTTCGGGTACATGTTATTTTCACATTTTATCGTCTCTGAAGTCAGGATGCAATTCATACTAGATGGCAGCTCATAGTTTAATTAGCAACTCTTTTTTTCTTTCTTAGTGGTGCATGAAGTCATAGTACATTTTATAATTGGTGTCAGCTTAGCTTCGATGTAATACAGTATAGGATTTACTTATTGATTGGTTTTTCTGATTCCTGCAGACTGGAATGTAAGTAATCTCATGAGGACAGGGATTTTTATCTGCCTTAAATCCTGACGTATCCCCAGCAACCAGAACAGCGCCTGGCACGTGGAGGCTGTCAGCAGATGTGTACACACTGAATGAAAGAATGCATAAATGCCCTCAGGGTCCATCCGGTTCATGAGCTAGACTGTATTCACACCTGTGAGCCAGCCCAAAGTAGACTTGTTCATGAGCTACAGTTCATGAGCTAGACCGTATTCACACCTGTGAGGCAGCCCAAAGTAGACAGTGTATCTCGTTGAAGTGAATAGTAATATGGTGTCAACGTTACACCTCAAAGCTGTGATTGTATTCATTCCTCTTCACCCCTCAGACATGTACTATCCGATGTGTTAGTCTATCTCCCCAGGAAACTGTGAGCCCCTGGGGGGCAAAATCATCTCTCTTTCTGTGGCTCCCGTCTCTTCACTAGGCTCAGAGAACAGTAAATGAATAAACATAGGTGTATATATTTACCTTTATCCTGGGTGCCTAAAATGTGCCAGGAGTGTAATACCTGAGCTGACTAGTCCTCCCAGCAGTCCTGCAGGTAGGAGTTGTTTTCCTGTTTGCCAGGTGAGGAAGCTGGTGAGGTGTCACCGTGGGTTTGTGTTCTTTTTCCGCTCACAGCTGCTCTCCTGGAAGTTACCTTTAGCCATATCAGGACTTAGCACCGTCTGTGCCATGCTCTGGTACATCCTCAGGGAAGGAAAAACTGGAAGAAAGGACTCAAGGTGGGTCAGAGAGCCCCCACCTTGTCCCAGGTGCCGTCCCGAGCCTTTGCTTGTCCGCTGGCCCACTCGCAAACTGGCTTGTGGTATTTCTGCCACCCACTGGCACGGCCACTGTTAGGTTTGGGGAACATGAATGAGCTAAACCCCAAACCTCGTCAGAGCTGTTTAAAAGAGAATTTTGTGAAACAAATAAAACATGTCATTTTTCTTTTTTTTTTTTTTTGAAATAGTAAGGAATAATTAAAATTATTTTGTAGTTCTTTCTACAAGGATGAATGGTCAAAATACAGTAAAAATATTAAGTCACTTGAAATACATCCTCTCTCTGGGAGCTAATATTCAGTTAATTTAATCTGTTATAGTTAGTTTTTATCTTAAGGGATCCATTTACATGATTCAAAGAGCTGTATTAAAAGTTTGCTGAAGAGAAATCCTGCTCCCCGCCTCCTGCACCCCAATTCCACCACCTACCTGTATAGGTAACGAGTTGGATTAGTTTCTTCTTTATCTTTCTCGCTGCACATATGATCATATGATCTTGTTCACTCTCCTTGTACCTCAAATACGGTACAAAACATACAGAGAGAATATACATATTCTTATCCCTCTCTCCATTTCTCGTACAAAAAATAGCACACTGTATATTCTGTTCAGCACTATCCTGTTTGTTCCCTTCACAAGATAACGTGAGAGCTCTCCATACCAGTATCTAGAGACAAACTTCTAACAAACATTTGCGAGTGAGTAAACCATTGAATGAACAAATTAGTGACTCAGCGAGTAATTGGAAACAATTACCGACTAGCCCTTTCTTTCTCCCAGGAAGCTTCCGGCTCACCTGGAGTGGTGTTTTCTATACCTTTCCCAGAAGCAGAATTCCCAGAACACCTGCTCAGCCCCTGCTTACACTCTCCCTTTTCCTGTCCTCAACAGGGAGGTGCCCAGATCAGCCTGGCTGAGGTCTGCCGGTCTGGGGAGAGGTCGACGCGCTGGTACAACCTCCTGAGCTACAAATACTTGAAGAAACAGAGCAGGGAGCCTGAGCCAGGGGGAGCCCTGGCCCCCACCCCAGGGCCTGAAAGCACGGTGAGCTGGGCCACGGGTTACGCCATCTTCCACACGCAGCACCGGGATGCAAGGAAGCAAATGCCTGTCCCAGACCTGGAGATGGCTGGGCACCCCAGGTGGAGGAAACGGGGCAGGAGGCAGTGGGGCGGAGAGGACAGGGCAGGAGGGATCTCGTAAGGGGCCAGTACCCGCCTCTGCAGCTTCCCCCGCTCCCAGTTGTGCTCTCCCCGTCTCACCTTTGCTTGACCTGGTATAACTCGCATGATGAAAACCAATTTAATTCCTGGCTTAAAAAAAAAAATTAAGTGAAGAAGGAAGGAGAAATCTGTGGAAGGTAGAACGTTAACCTTTATGGAGACCCTACGATGTGCATAGTGGTCCATAGTGGAGACTTTATATAAGAGGCAGAGGGAGGTCACAGGAAGGACAGTCAGAAGAGTGACCGGTGTTTCTTAGTTGAGTGACAGGGGTCAATATTTCACCTCTCTAAGCCTCCACTTCTTCACGTCTAATCTGAGTCTAAAATGGTTATTATAATGTTCTGAGGGAATACATGGTAAGGGCTCGATAAATAGTATCTGTTTCATTATTTTTTCTTCAAAATCTTATATTTGCCTATTTTTTGTTAAAAAATATCTTATTTTCATTTCAGTGCAATACATTTTAACCTGTTCAATGTCCTTAAACTGTTTCCTGCACTTGGAAAGCTCACACCTGCCAGCCAAGTAGCCCAGCCAGGACTGAGTTGAGCAGTGAAATTGCCCTTGAACATAGAGTGACACAGAGTATGGGATCTTCGTGAGATCCCAAATAGTTGGTTACTGTGGACAGTCACTGCTCAGAATTTCAGTGGAGGGGATGGGCGAGGTCACACAGGTAGGGATAAGAGCAAGGGTTAAATCTGGTTTTTGCCGCCGCCTCCTCCTCCTCCTCCTCCCCCCCACCCCCTTTTTGATCATTTTCTTCACTTCCTTTTACGTCAGGCACTGTCCTGTTTATTATGTGCAGTTTACCAACACTCCAGAAGATGTACTTAAGGACATAACATCTAATGAGCAACAAAGCTCGGTCTCAAACCCAGATCTCCCTCACTCCAAAAAAGGGAGTCAGTGAGCTGGCACAGGTCTTCCAGACTCACCCCTCTCTACATTCTAGAACATTTTTGGGGGGGAGTGGGGGGTAAGTAATATCAACATTAGACACGTTAGTTTTCTCATTCCCATTTCTCAAGGGAATAATCATGATCTCCCCTTAGGATGGTAAGATTTAAAAAGATGCCAATCAGTGCCTGCCAGGCTTTCAGTTGATTTTAGTTAACCTTCTTCCTTCCCCAAAAGGTAGTTTCAGGAATCATCCAGGCTCTGGCCCACACTACCCAGCGTTTTTGCAAATTAACCATGTGCTCGGAAAATGACAAGATCAGTTTTACTTTGCTATTACCCACCATTTAGTGAGCGCCAGTTACATGCTAGGTATTCTTCTGCATACCTTATGTATATGTTCTCAGTCTTCATAACCGCCCTTCGCGGTAGGTATTAGAGGAAACTGAGTCTCAGGTTAAATCATTTTTCACTGTAGGCACCATTCAGTATAGATGTTCTTCCTCCAGGAAGTCTTCCCTGAATGCAGCCTCCCCCGCCCCAAGCTGGGTTTGCTGTTTTCCCTGTATACTCAAACACCAATACTTACCTCTCTCATAGTCCTTCTCACATTTTGTTATTGATGTTTTGCATGAGAGTCTCCCTGACTCCACTGTGATCTCCTTATAGCCAGAGACCTATAGTTCTGTCTCACTCAGCTGTTAAACTTGGCTGTCTTCCCAAACTGTCCACGCATATCAGAGGTATTCTCAAGAAAACTACTAATTAGAAGAACTAAGCGCTGTATTTCCAATGCATACGTGACCCCGGGGCAAGACACTTAGCCACTCTGGTGTTTAGTTTTACCCTCAGTTCACGGGGAGGGTCCCCCTCTGAGAAGCTCTGACTCTTGCTGGCAGGGGTGGCGTCCATGGTACACAGGTGAACCCATGAGCCCTTGTCTCTGTAGGATGCTGTGTCTGCTCTGTTGGAACAGACGGCAGTGGAGCTGGAGAAGAGGCAGGAGGGAAGAAACAGCGCCCGGCCCCTGGAAGACAGCTGGTAAGCGAAGGCTCTCTTGGGCCTCAGGAGTTGATCTGGCTTGGACCTCGGCCTAGGGAAGAGATCACCAAACACCAGGGCAACTGAGAGAGGTGTTCCCCTGGGAAAGCTGAGAGCCTCTCTCCTCATGGGTTCTCTGCAGGCAGCAACGCAGTATAATAGTCTAATGCAGCGCTTCCCAGAATCCTTTCTTGATTTGTTATTTTATGTTCTGTGAATCAGTCACGCTAGTTCACGTCTAATATTAGTTTCCGTTGATGCACTTACGTTTATTTTGGTAAAAGAAAAAAAAAAAAGACTTAAAGACCTTTTTTATTACTATAAATGGAAGATAAGTATAACTTGCCATAAATTGAAGATTTCTCAGTAAAGAATTCCATTTGACTGCTAGAAACAGGTAGCAGAAGATAGAAGTTTATTTCTTTGTTACTTGAAAAGAGGAATGGGAGAAAGCAACCCAAGGCTCGGCTGTCAGCTCCAAGATGTTACTGGGAACCCAGGCTGCTTCTCTCATCCTGCTCTGCTGTCCTTCCTATGTGACCTCCATCATCAAGGCTACTTTATAGCCCACAATGGCTGTGGAGTCACCAGCCATCAGGCAGCCATCGGGAAAGAGGAAAGACAAGAGAGTGTGTCTCTGTGCCTTTTAACCAAGGACCGTTCCTGAACGTCTACCCACCGCCCACCCCCAGCAATTTCTGTTTGCTTCTCATTGGCTGAGCATAGCCACTTGGCCTAACTAACTGCAAGGGAGGCCGGGAAATGAGGTCTGTTAAGTGGGGTAAAAAATCAGAGTTCCATTACTAAGGAAGAATGTGGGAATAGATCTGTGGGAATAGGTGTAGCTAAGTCTGCCTCGGCGACTTCCCCCTGGATGTGATCAGAGCATCTGGAGGAGAACGGGACGGGAGGCCGCTTCCTCCCAGTGCGGACCTGGCTCTTGAGTCCTGCGGATCCCGGCAGAGGTCTCTCACGCCTTAAGGAACAGCAGTGTCGTCACATCTTAGCTTTCTCATTTCTCCTGTGTCACCTCAGGCAACGCATTTTTAACTTTTTATTGCAGTATAACATGCATACAGAAAAGTTCACTTAGGGGTACAACATCTCAGGGAATATTCAGAAACCAAACTACCCGTGTAGCCAGCATCCAGATCGAAAAGCAGGGCATTTATAGCCCACTCCCCGGAAGCCTGCATCGTGCTTCCTCATGTCGCTGCTCTCCATCTGACGGGCAGCCACGGTGAGGCGAGCCCTCCTAACCTCGCCTGAGCCTCGGGTGAGAAATGGGCATGACACACACACTGACCACAGTAGGTTGTTGGAGAGGACGAAAGGAAAAGCTCACAGGAGACACTCAATAGAGGGTAGAAGTCAATATTAGGAAAACAAGAAGGAACACTGCTAACTTCCAGCTAAAGGAGAGAAGGCAGAGTCCACCTAGGAAATGAGCACAAGCTAGGAATCTTGCCATTTGGGCGGAAGTGTAGCTGGGCTTAAGTGCATGGGCTCTGAATTCAGACAGATAGCGGCGATTCAGAGTCTCGCTCAGCCAACTCCCTGTGGGGTCCTAGGGCTGGGTGAGGCCTGAACATCGGTAAGTTTTAAAAGCTCCCTGAGTGATTCCGTTGTGCAGTCTGGGCTGAAAACCCTGGCTCTACACCTCCGATCGTTCATCTGTGAAATACAGATTTGAAAAATAGCCACTCCGCGTGGGTATTTTGTCGACTCAATATCATTATGCACGATAAGCGCTTCACTCAGACCCACAGGAAGCACTCAGTAACTCTTTTGTATTATTCTGTTACAGCCCCAAATTATACATTTGGTCTCAGAAGGAGGCTTTCCTTAATATCTTTTACTCCAGGGGTCAGCAGATGTTTTCTGGAAAGGGCCAGATAGCAAATTCCCGTTTGATGGGCCATACAGATTCTGTTGCATCTGCTCATCTTCGGTGCTTTAACGTGAAAGGCGCCGTAGACCCCATGCACACCAACCACCACGTCCCCGGCACTGAAACTTCCGCAATGGACACTGAAATTTGAATGTCACATAATTTACACATGTCATGAAACATCATTCTCCTTTTGATTGGTTTTTTTTTCCCAGCCATTTAAAACAAAAACTATTCATAGCCTGGACTGCCCCAAAGTGGGCCGGATTTGGCTCCTCCGGCTGACCCACTACTGTCCCTCCATGTGGTGAAGGGTATGGCAAGGATCTTGGATTTTTGTATCTTCATTTTGTTTCTTTAACAATTCTTTCTAAATACTCTCAATTCCTCTCTCCCTCTTTCCTCTTCCCTCCCAGCCCCCTCTCTTCTCTTTCTTGCCTCTCCCTCTCCCCTCCACCTCCCTTTCTCCCTTTTTTTTTCTCTCTCTCTCCTCTTTCCTTCTCTTTGCCTCTTTCTAGCACGCTGCTGGGCCGAGCAGGGCTGTGACTCACACAGGCCAAGTGTGATGCCGGAAGTAGGCCCAGGACCTGTCTTCCAAACCCCTGGCACAAGATCAGTGGTTTCCGCCAAATTCCAAGCTTGTGTTGAGACTTTTCACGCCATCGCCTAGCAACCGCCTTCTGTTCTCTCTCCCTTTGTGGCCTCCTCGTTCCCCACCCCTTGCCATTCAAACTTCCCTAGACGCTAACTTACAAAGAGGGCTGGGTAATCCCAGAGCTGCTCTGCTGGGGTAGATCCATCTGCAGCTCCCTCCCCCGGGGCCACAGGCTTCTTTGGGTCCTGGAATGTGAACTAGCCTTGCCTGACTCTGGAGTCTGTGTCGGAAGCCTCCAAAGGCCAGCCCTCTGTTCTAATTTTTTGCCCTCCTTCTCCAGCACCCAAGGCCCAGGGTGCCATTGTCAATCCCTTTTGTTTAATTAGGTTTCTTTGCATATAATCGGAAGGCTGGATTTTTTTTTTTTTTTAAGATTCACAAACAAAACAAAACTCTAAAAGTATTAAACAATACTTTTACAGTAGGAGAATATAATCACAAACAATGCTAGAGTGCAGTCCTGGAGTTGGTCTCCTTCGGAACCTGCGCGCGTTTGTCTAGGGCCAATGCTGAGAAGTGGCCTTGCAGAATAGCTCTCAGATAAGACGGTGCTATAATATGCTCCCGCCAGCAGTGACTGTGAGTACCCCTAAGCCTGCACCCTCTCTGACACTCAATGTAATCCAGCCACAGTACCTAATTGAGAGTATGTGTACATGTTTTATTTGAGCAGACACTGCTAAATTGACTTCAGAGTGTAAATTGGCTGCTCTGATTTGCACTCCCCACAGGGTTTCTTGTCCTTTCTGGAAATATTTAGATCAGATTCACAACCGAAAGAGGAGAGAGAGATCCATAGTGGCTGAGCGCTTCGTGGACGTGGACAAACCTGTGCTGGAACCCTGGCTCTCCCACTTTTTGCGCAGCAGCCTGTGACACTGGACAAGGCCTGTCAGCTCTCTGATCCTCAGCTTTTGAATCATAAAATGGAGGCAATAATCGCCTCATTGTAGCACCTGGAGCTTATTAAACCCTCGGTAAAAGCTGGTTAATGTGGCGTCTGCAGAATCCTTAGGGGAATTCTCCTTGCATGTTTAATGGCTTTTATAAGGAGACAGAGAGGCTGCGGGTGCACATAGCAAAGTGCCCATCTAAGAGCAGAGGAGGTTTTAATGGTGGGCCGGGGGGAGAGATCCAAGACCTATTCTTCCCACTGGGAAAATCCTGAGGGAGATTTTATGTTTATTCACAATCTCGCTGAGCCGGCTAACTAGATGTCAAATTTCCTGCTTTTGGCTGGAACTCCTTCTGCTCAGTGTGGTAATGCTGTCTCATGCTGATCAGAAGCCTGGCGGTTATGTATGTCTTTGAGAAGGAAAGATGAGAAAAGAGATAGATGACTAATTAACAAATGCAATCCATTTGTCACACCAACTCCTTCCAACCGTGGAGTCCATGGGGAATGGATAATTAGGAAAAGTATCACCAAAACTAGAGTCTCTTTAATGAATGATGCTGGAACAATCGAATATCCATATAGAAAAAAATAAACTTTGAACGTCATGCACAAAAATTAATCTAAAATGGATCATAGAGCTGAACAAAAGCTGAAACTATAAAACTCCTCAAAGAAAATCCTTTACAACTTTGGAATAGGCAGAGGTTTCTTAGGTCAGACATAAAAAGCAAAAACCATTTTTAAAAACGGATAAATTGAACTTTATCACAATCGAAAGCTTCTGTACTTTGGAAGACACCATTTAGAAAATGAAAAGTCTAAGCCACAGGCTTAGAGAAAATATTTGCAAAGGATTTCTATCCAGAATACATGAAGAACTCTTACAACTCAGTAGTAAAAAGGGAACCCAGTTTTTAAATGGGCTAAAGAGTCTGAAAGATGCTTTGCAAAAGAAAATAATGCAGGTGGTCAAAAAATGCATGAAAAGATTCTCAGTGGGAAAGTACAAATTAAAAGCACAATGAAACATGAGTACACAAGTGATAGGATGACTAAAGTTAAAGACTGGCAGGGCCAAGCCTCGCTGAGGCACTGGAATTGCCCGAGCATCCCTGCTGGGAACGTAAAGTGGCATAACCACATCGAAAACCAGTTCGTCGATTTCTTAAAGGAATGCACTTGTACTTACTGGATGACCCAGTAATTCTACTCCTGGCCATATGTCTCTTATGGTCTGAATTGTGTCCCCTGCAAAATTCATATATTGAAGTCTTGAGCCCAGGACCTCAGAATGTATACTCTGTTTGGAGACAGGACCTTTAAAAGATGATCAACTTAACATGAGGTCGTTAAAGTTCACAGTGGGCCCTAAGCCCTTATGACTGGTGTGCTTGTAAGAAGAAATTTGGACACACAGAGAGATACCAACGATGCATGCAGAGGGGGAAGACCGTCTGAGGACACAGCAAGGAGGTGATCGTCTGCAAGCCGACGAGAGAGGTCCCAGAGGAAACCAAACCTTGCCTCCACCTTGATCTTGGACTTTTAGCCTCCAGACCTGTGAGAGAGAAATTTCTGTCTGTGGTTTTGTGTTACGGCCGCCCTAGCAAACTCACACAGTATCCAGAAAAAAATGAACACCTGCATCTACGCAGACTTGTAGGTGAATGTCTATAGAAGCTTTATTCATAATTGCCGAGAAATGGAAACTCCAAATATTCATCCCCTGCTGAATAGCTAAACAGGTTGTGGTCTGTCCGTCCCATGGAATACCAGCCATAAAAAGGTGGAAACTATTGATAAAATCACCAGCATCGGTGAATCTCAGAAACATGCTGAAAGAATGAAGCCAGAGATGAGAGCACATGCTGTCTGATTCCATTTATGTGAAATGCTAGGAAATCACATTTCGAGTGGCAGAAAGCTGATCCGTGCTGGGCTTGGGGTGGCGGGCAATTAGCTGAGAAAGGGCGCAAGGGAATGGTCTACATCTTGAGTGTGATCTTGCACACACATTGGTCAAAACTCGTCACGCTGTACACTGAAAATGCATTTCGCCGTATGCAAATTTACATCTCCCTGAAATTGACTTTTTCTCCCAAAAAGTATGTCCTCAATCCTGAAAAGGCTTGGAAGCCCTGCCCCTGGGTGCATTTAAAGGCAGGTGAGCAGATCAGAGTGGTCTCTGGGGCAGTGACCGAAGTTCTTTCTCTGTCATCATAGGAGGTTCGAGGAAGAGACCAGCGAGAACGAGGCAGCCGCAGAGGAGGAGGAGGAGGGAGAGGAGGAGGGAGAGGAGGACGTCTTCGCCGAGAAGACCTCACCAGATATGGACGAGTGCCCAGCGCTAAAGGTCGGGCGGGCTGCGGAGATGGGAGGGGCGGTCTTGAGGAAATAGCCCTCCGTCCATGAGCAGAGTAGTCAGTCAGAAAAGGCTCAGGGCCGAGTCTTGCCCTCCAGCATCAGGGGACATGCCGTCAGAATGGGGCGGCCGTATGGCGGTGTCCTTGCCTATCCTTTGTCTCATTTCGGTGACAGTAAATGAGGGGAGGCGGACTCAGCCCCTGCCATGTGCAGCCCCCCCGTTTCTCTAGCTTTGCCGTCTTGCGGGTCTGGGTTCCAACGCTGGCCTGCTGCTCCCTAGCGGTGTCGTCTGAGGCAGACGACTTCATCCCTCTGGGGCCTTCTTTTCCTCGTCTCTAAACAGGATACAGTGACACTCGCCTCGCAGCAAGCTCTCGGGCTCAGAGCATGCGCTCCTTCATTTGGGTTGGCCCAGAGTGCCATGGGAGAGGGGTGTCCAGCCAAGGTCCCCTCGCCCCTGCTTCCCTGATGCACAAAGGTGATGCGTTATGACAGCTTTCATTCTCCACAGAGATCTCTGTGTTCTTTCCACCTGCAGGACTCCCAGAACTAGAGCACCCTACTGTGTCTGAGCAGGGCACCCCAGGGGCAGAGTGCAGGCATTGCACAGAGGTGCCTCACCAAGGGGGGCCACACAGGAATCCAGGGCTACCTTCTAACTGCTTCACACCGAGGGGAAACTTTTTTTGCAGTTTCTCTAGCCAAAGAGGGTGCCTTTTACAAAATTACACAAAGGCACTGTTGAGGCTCACAGAGGCCCCTCATCTAGGTGTTTTTGCTCGCTTATCTTTTACTGGTGGCTACTGTGAAAGGGAAGGTAGAATATCTAATTATATAGTTTAAGAAACGAGATTTGCTAGTTACCTCCGCAATTCCAAGGAAACATCAGCAGTTCTTGGCTGGGGCGGAGGAGGCTTTGGGTGTGGCTTTGTCAGATGCTCCTGGCACATGAGTCTTGAGGGTGTGAAGTCCAGGACACCTGTGCTTGAGGTACTTCTTTTGCTCATGTGAGCTTATTTGGAGACTAAATATGCTCCCACTAGCCTCAACCCACAAGAATAGGGGCTGGCACTGGGGACCTTGGGCGCCATCCTGGCTGGGCATGGCTGGGGCTGAGGAAGCGCCCAGCCGTGTCTATGGGACAAAGCCAGGTGACAGCTGGGGAACAGCTGGAGAATCTTCCCCATGAGTCAAAGCCAGGTGACAAAGCCAGGTGACAGCTGGGGAACAGCTGGAGAGTCTTCCTCATGAGTCTTCCCCGTGAGTCTCCGGATGGGTGGCCGAGACTCTGGTTATTGGCCTCAAAGCTGTGGCTCCTTCCCCAGGTGGACAAAGAGACCAACACAGAGACCCCGGCCCCGTCGCCCACAGTGGTGCGGCCCAAGGACCGGCGGGTGGGCACGCCATCCCCAGGGCCGTTTCTCCGAGGAAGCACCATCATCCGCTCCAAGACCTTCTCCCCCGGACCCCAGAGCCAGTACGTGTGCCGGGTAAGCAAACAGGTGGTTCTTTCCTTCTCTCAGAGAGTCTGTTTCCCATGGGGTAGCTGAGAGCCTGCAGCCTCACACCGTTCTGGGTGCAAATCCCGATGACGCTTATGTCGCCAGGCACCTTCAGCACCTTAATGCCGCCGAGCCCCAGCTTCCTCGTGTGGAGATAATGGGCCAACTGCGTAGGGTTGTCTTAAGGGCCAACTTGGATAAAGTGTGAAGGAGGCTCAGTAACCCTGGCCAATATTATTGTAACTCTAACCAGCCTTCCCCTCCTGCTCGTTCACGCCCTGCCCTTCCTCAGCTGCTCGCTGAGATGATCAGACTGACCTCCCACTGCCCCCGAGCGGGCATTCGATTCCAGTGTACAGCCTGAGGCGACATAATAGCAACAGGCCTGTGTTATTTAGTCACAGGTTCTTTTTCTATTTGGTGTGGTTGCTAACATTGAAATCTTAGGGAAGACGATTAAAGATGAAATAAGAGTAGAAGTTTCACATAAAATTTCAGTTTCCCTTGAGAAAAAGGGGTGGTCTGGCACCACGGCCACACATTCTCTCCTGGCAGCGATTGGCCGGAGCTGAGTGGGGAGGCAGCTGCCCGTGGGTGATGGGAGGGAAGGGACCACCTGGCCCACTTTACCTGCGTGGTTGCCAACCTGCTCTCGCAGGCCCCGCTGGTGTCTAGAAGCCCCACGGTATACCCCGCCCTGCTGTCCGCTTAGTCTCCCCCTCCTAGGCCAGCCTACTCCTCCTTTCTACCCAGAATGAGGGTTTAAGCACTTACCATGCCTGTGGAGTCATGCTGGTAGCTGGGGCTGGAGAACCAGACCCTGTGCTGACCTTGCTCAGAGATGCAAAGCTATGACACGTGTACATCTCACCTGAGTCCTGGGTTCGGGCAATGTGTCAGCATCCAGGGTTCCCCCACACCATGCAGAACCAGTGAATAGTAATTAGATGTGCAAACAGAACCTTCCTGCCTAATGTGATTTGGGGGGCTGAGGGCATACTGAGGGCATATTGGGTATTCAGTATCCAAGGCCTGCAATGATAAGATTGAGTAGAGAAGCTAATTTCTTCATAACATGAAAATTTCACTAATTTACTGGCTACTTATCAAGTTAGTCCCCATAGAAGTATTCTCTGCAGTGCCTCCCAGAAATACGGTAAACCTCTCCCTTCTCTGTCAAGTCTCAAAGGAGCTGATTGTCTGAGCCTGTGAGCGTTTGCACAGACAGTGCAAGCACAATACACCTTGGCCGCGTGTTCCGCAAAAGGGACAGCGTGTACCGAAGTCACCGAATGTGACTTTGGTGTTGGGGATTCCTGAATCACTGTTAAAGAATCCTGCAGTTAAGCCAGCGCATAGCTGAAGACGAGAAAGACCCGATCTGTATTTCAAATGCGAATATTTGGAAGGATTTAGAAAAGCCCTTAGGATAACGAATAAAACCCTCTGATTTGGGCAAAATTGCTGCCTTTATGAATATGCGGTGGAAATCAAGCACAAAGTGAAGAACAGTTGGAAAAATCACACCAAATTAGTATGTGATTCATTCTTTTTCATCGGGATTAGCATGCAGTTGTAATTTCGTTAAATGGGAGACAAAATATAACTTTGGCAAAGTGTTTCTCTTTTCTAACTAAAGACTCAAACTTCTCCTCCCCCGCAACATTTACTATAAAATTCTGGTCCCCTGTTTAAATGGATTCCATTTAAGTGGCCCTTTTCCAGGAATGTCACCCTCGAATAACAAGAAGCTCCTGTCCTCTTAAGCATCTATAACATGCCTAGCACTACACAGGGTTCTTCCCATACTTTATTATCTGGACCAGTTTCCAACCCTGCAAGCCTGCGAATTAAGAAATTCCCCCTCAGCGTGGATCACATGCCACACCCAGAGGGGCCTCGCTTAGCAACGCCATGTACTTTCCTTCCTTGCCTTCTGACTGGCCCACCTCGGCCCAAGCTTACCTCCTTATTATACAGTCTTACCGAAAGCTACACAAAGTAGCCAGTGGCACAACATCCTGAATTTTTTCCTGTCTTTTCCTCTAAAACTCCTCTAAAACTGTCTCCTGAAATGCAACAAGTGACAATTTAATTCTCTGTTTTGCACCCACAAAATGAACATTACTGATTCTCCCTCCTGCCTTCAGTACACGGCCAGCTCCATGTTTTCCAGTCTGTGACTTATGGCACACCACCTCCCAGCACCAAGTCTTGTACTATTCAGGGTTCTCAATGGCAAGCAACAGAACCAGTGATCCAGCAGTATATACAGGAAAGAAATTTTTGCAAAGGAAGTTGAGAAGCTCACATATTCAGAAGGCTGTAGAACAAGCCTCAGAAATCAGGTAGGAGCAAAATGGACCAGACCACAGCCAAAATCATACCACAGAGGTAATCAGGTGAGACATTGCCAGCGCCGCCATAGAACCTGGCCCCAGCTGGTCCCACTGCTGCTTCCACGGGACCGCAGTAGTTGATGGCCTGGTTAATCCAAAAAGTTCAGTAACAGAGAATTGGGTCCAACTAACCAGGTTGCGATTCAGGGATTTTGGCAGTTTGATCTAATATCAGACAGAGTCTAGTTTAGTGCCTGCCTCTAGCTATAAGGGAGGCCACCAAAGCAAGACTGGTACTTTCAGCTTCGTTAGCAGGAGGTGGGCTTTGTCTCCCACCATGAGTCATGAGGTAGGGCTTTCCCCACCCCTCGGATAGATTTTTAAATGCTTCTTAGCAATACTC